GATGGACGTCAGGAATAACAGTTGGACAGAATCATCTGAATCAAGGGCAACTAATTAGCTTTTTCTGGACCTTTGAATCCAATCTGAAAGTGATCTTTATCAGGAAGCGGAGTACCTGAACTCCTCTCACTAATGATGGCTGTGAGATGCTCTTACGAAATCCAGAAAAAAACTGGACTTTTGAGTTTAAATCGTAAAACCACTGTGGTTGTTTTTAAGAAAAAGAGTTGGGTGAACCAACAGCAAATCCCTTACATTAACTGTATGTAATGTTTTTCAACCTTCATATGATGTTAACATATTTAATCCATCAGCTTGGCGACGAGGTGTACCATGTGACCGGGGAGGTGGAGCTGGAAGGTGGAGCGTCGTTCCTCCACTGCTCTGTCAACGGCGTGAAGTCTCGTCCCAAACTGGTGATCCTGGACAGCACGGTGCATCTGTTCTCCACGGTACGTCCTGCCAACACTAACTGGAGTCACCTTAATGTAGCTGCACATTTTTCTACTTTTATTTTTACTCATGTCTGTTAATGCTTAAAATGTGCTATCTGTTTTTGATTCACATTGTTCTTATACAAGTTTGTTATATCGATTAATCGGCCTATTATTTAGTTCAGGAATGACATTTTTTGTCCATTAAATGCAGAAAAAGGTGAAAAACGGTTCTCGCATTATCCTGGAAACCATCATTAAGTAGTTTGATTTGCCTGATAACTAAACAGAACCCTTAAAGTAAATGTAGCAACACATAAGATTAAACAATTCATAATTCTTCTCTCTTAAGTAATATTGTTTCTCACTCATAAATCGATTTAAAATGTGTATTTGTTTATTAGATAGCTTGCCTTGTTTACAGTTGATTTACTGCAGGTTCAGTTCCCCAAATAAGAGATGTTATAACTCCTCTCTGCAGGAGGGCAGCTCGCAGGTGTCCGTGCCTGTCCCAAAGTACCTGGCCGCTGTGAGCGGGGCGGGGGCCCAGGGCGGAGCGGTGGCCCCCATGACCGGGACCATAGAGAAGGTGAGGATACACTTGTAATTGTATAATAATAAGCTGTAGCTGCTCAGTCTTCTCTTCTTCTTCTGCTTTTTCTCAAATAGCAATTGCAGAATAGAATAAATGACGATTATAACACACCTTGTTGTTGTTTGTATAAGCACTGTAATGCACTCCTTCTGATCAAAAACAAGTCAACCTGAGAAATAAATGCAATTTCTTCATCCTTACATTTGATTTATGGGGACACCTCAGAGTGTTGTTGTTTACCTGAAATGAACCGGCAGCCAGTGTAATAAACTGAAGGAGAGAGCAGACTGTTCAAAATGATGGCAGTCAAAGTAGACCTGGCCATTACATTTTAATGGATAATTCCAGCAGGAAGTAATAAAGACGGACATTAGTTCCTCAACAACACATGTATCCTCTGGAGTGAGTGTCCTCTGTCCAAAACAACTCTGTGCTGTGTTCAGGTGATGGTGAAGGCCGGGGACACGGTGGCTGTCGGAGACGCACTGATGGTCATGAACGCCATGAAGATGGAGGTGAGACACACACACACACACACACACACACACACACACACTCTACCATTTCACATTTAACACACACTGCTGCGTTTGTGCTAAAGTTGTTTCTGTTTACGCAGCACACGATCCGGGCCCCTAAGGCAGGTGTGATCAAGAGGGTCTTCTTCAGCGAGGGCTCGCAGGCCAATCGGCACGCTCCTCTGATCGAACTGGAGGAGGAAGAGGAGGTGGAGGAAGGGAGCAGCCAGTAAACAGACTCAGACAAACAACCACGCCCTAAACACACACTGAAAGGTGGCAGGGAGGCGGAGCTAGTTAGTGAGACAGCTGCAGGGGGCGGGAGTCTGGAAATGGTTGGTGTTCTGAAGATGAGACGGGATCTGGAGTGAGTCTGGATTAGACAGAAAACCCTAGGGAAGGGTAGAAGCTGGTAAAGTCACCTACAATGTTTTTGGGCTTGACTTGTGTGTCAGCTGCTCGGTAAACACCACATCAGTCTCTCAGCTGCCTTACACACTTTAGAATAGCACTTTTATTTTGATTTCTCTTTCTTGTGTTTATATTCTTGAATCAATGAAGCTCTGGCAACTGTTTGCCTTTTCCCCTTTCCCCATGTCTCCTCTCTTTGTTTCTGTCAGTGATGTTAGTTTAAGTTGTTATCTTGTTCAGAACAGTGAGTACTTCTTGGTCTTTACAAGGTGACGGCATTAAACACTTATATGTAAGCAAATCTGATAAAGTGTGAAATCAGTTAGTTAGAATTAGTGCAAACTGTTCAATTGTGCTTCCAGACTGACTCCCACCTCTTCATAATTTCCCCTGAAAGTGTGATTATTATTAAAAATAAAACGGATCTGCTCGGCCCCTGTTGTTGTTGTTGACGAGATTGTAGCCTGACAAAAAGAGAAAGGTAGAACAACACTCCAAAATGATGAAAAGATTCCCATCTTCTGAGACCTAGTTGATGATGCCCTGTAAAGTATGATCTGTGTGTCACGGACAGAAGGAAGTTTCTGTGTTTCCGCTGATCGCTCTCTTTTTACTAACTTGTGTTCTGAGGCCTTGTAGATTTAAACTGATGATCACTTGTGTTCATTTTGCAGATGTGACAGATGACTAGAAAATACTGTAATAAAAATGTTTCTAAAGTATGCACAGCATCGTCATTCTTGTTGTTCTTGAAGTGTTCGAAGGTGGGTTGCTTAGTTTGACACATTTCCCTCCTCTTAATCCTTTTGTCATGGATTGAGCTTTACCAGCCTTGAGTCAGGTGCTTAATTCCCCCAATACGTTGTTTATGACAAACCATTACATCCTGTTTTTATTACACATACTAGAACATTTTTGATGACCTCCTATAGTATGATGTTTTAAAGAAATGTTTTAAAAAGATATACCGGTACTATACTATGACATTTTAACCTGTTAAGCCCCACTCGGCGGGGACTTATTTTTTTTCTTTCTTCATGACACTGTCTCAGGGCATCTTAATATTTAAGAACCTATTAATGTGTTACACCAGATTAACGGGAAGAATCTCAGCTAACTGACGATACAAACAATTTTAACCAAAACAAAACACAAGTCTCATAAGAAGCATCTAAATGACCCCTGAGCGAAAAATGCTAACGCACTTTGGCACAGAACTCAAGATAAAAGATACCCTTATTACTTATCGTAGCTGTACATACAAGATATCCGATTAAAGCTGAGGTTCCACAGATTATTTGGGTATATATATATATCATCACTGAGTGATCCGAACTCGGACAGGGGAAGCAAACACAGACATCACAACACGTACCTTTACGTAGCTTTTACGGGAGATCGTCTCACCGTAGCTGTCAATCTGATCAAAAGACGTGTTCAATAGCATTAAAACGAGAAAAAACGCGGCTGAATCGGGTAATCCATAGGTTGATAATGTTTCTGTGGATTTGAACAAATTATTTATAATCCATAATTCCAAAAGTTAGCTGCTAATGGTAGCCACCAGAGTTATCGCAGCTTCCGGTCTTGGCTATGCGGCAGTCTCACACACATGACCAAATAAGGAGTATGTGGGCGTTCCCCTCGATTCCATTGGCTCTGACGGTTAGAAAGAGATGTCAATCAGCAAAATCGAGCAAGGGGGGCCAGAGATAGGTCAAATCCACCCAAATGACCCCAGAAGTGTTTTTTTTGTTGCTAAATCTCTCTAAAAAGGTCAAAATGAACTTGTTTTGTATCAATCTTGATACAGGGTACTTATTATATGTTGTAGTTTGGATTCCTAAAGCTTTTAGTGGTGGTTTTTACTATAAGTAATTTTTTTTTTTGGATGGACACAATAATTTACATTTTTTTACTGTGTTCAATCTGAATTTACTTTAAAATAAAAACATCTATATGGATTCTGACACTTCTACATCCAACTCACAGGTGTAACCTTGCTTTGAGAAAAAAGATTATTAATTTAACCCTTTTAGAAGCCTGAGACCTGAAAAACAGGCTCGGGGCTTTATGGTATGAGTACAAGTCATAAAAGTGATATGACATTTGATGGCTTACTCAATTAAGGCAAACTATATTATGACGTTGTATTGCAGACCCTAATATGACGTCATGACCTACAGACTACACGTTAACATTTTATGGCACACCATTTTCAACATTCTTTTTATGGCATACAAAATAATATTTTTTTATAATGACTAATACTCTTATCTTTTTGTTATTACATTCTATTCTATTACAATTACATTTTAATGACATATATTTTGATATTTTTACTATGTGTATGATTTTAAGGCACACAAATAGGGTGACGTAATGTATTGTAAGACGTGCTATACAACTGTGTCATAAAAAAAACATGATAACTTTAAACTTTTAAGCAATTTCTATGGCATATTATACTATGACATTTATTTATGCCATATTATTTTATGACTTTTTACGACATGTTTTTATGACATGCTACTACATTTGAGTTTTTTCCTATGTTATTTTTAATGATCATTTTATGGAATACTGTAGTATCACTTTTGAATGCCAATTATATCCTTTGAAATATAATTGAATTTCTTAAAACAGTGTAGTATGACATTTTTGGATGTACTATTCTAAAATATTATTTTTGACTTTTACTTTAGTGCATACAATACTAAGAAATTATTTATGAAATGGTATTATCTTTTTAATACATTTATTATGGCATACTATACTATAACCTTTTCATTATTTTGTATATGGCACTATATTCAGACTTTACATGTCTACGTTGTTAGACGCTTTTATCCAAAGTGTCTTGCCCAGGGACACAACGACATGCTAACTGCAGTGGGGTTTGAACCAGTGCTCCCCTGATCTGAACACCAACGCACTAGTCCACTGCACCACAGCCTCCCTGACCTTATTTGAAATACATACATTCCATTACTTTAAATTTTTTTTTTTTTTTTTAAAAAGAACAGTCGCACACCACAGAAGTGTTTCTTAAAAATGTATTTATTTTGTAAATAGAACCGCATCTTCATAAACATCAGCTATAAGACAGATTTACAGACAGGAGGAGGAAGGACACACAGCGACAGATAAACAGAAGAAGATGAAGATGATGGAGCTTCATCAAACCGTCCGACGCAGCATGGCTGACCAATGAGAGCACAGAGGAAACATGATGGTGTTCTGCCTGAAGCTGAGTCACATGACCTTTTGCAGCACAGAATGGATCGATTGACATTTTAATTTAGATTCCTCTTTTAAGCTTATCCAATTGTGGAAACATTATTTGATTTAAGTCTGCAGTCTGAGTTTTCCAAAGCATCGCCGCACTGACGGCAACTTCTTAGTTCAAAATGTCCGAACATTACCGTTAAAGTTAGAACCTTTGTAGGGGCCTACTGTTTATGTTAACAATGACTATATATTCAATAGGATCTCTACATGATTGTGTAGATTGGATGTAATAAGACTAACCAGAAGAGACACATTTCTATTTTCATTTGTTCTTTACTCTACGATACAAAGCCAATGTGTTCTGAAGCATTTGGTTTTAGACAGAAGATTAACCGCTCTTGATAAAATACCTTATTAAACCTAGAAGGTGCTTCTGATGGATGACCTGATCCCCATCTGCAGTTAGACTCCATCAAATATTAAATGACAACTTTTGAATTATGTGTCCGGGTAATCCCCTGCTCTTAGAAATACCCCGGAGGCCTCGTATCCAAACACGGCGTCTCCTTGTGATGAAGCTTCGATGACATCAGTGCTTTGACGCTTTGGAGAATCAGGTTGTGTTTAAGGTCACAATCCATCATTACAAAATACACTTTCTTTTTTCTGCATTAACAGAAGCATAGATGTATCTCTAGTGCCAATATCCATATGACATGTACTTAAAGGAATCTGTACCTGGATACACAATGAAAATATATATTTTGTTTATTAAATTGAACTTCATAATGGGTCTTTTCACAATAGGGGGTTTTATTACATTGTATTTTACTTTAGAGAAAGGACATTCTGTAATTAAAGTGTTTATTAATAAAAACCCTATCCATCATTAATTTCTGGTGTTTTTCTATTTTTAAATCTTATGGGAAGCATATTTTGCTCATAACTTATTGTTGCTTATTTCTTATAGAATTATAGATTGAACTATCATATTTAAAATAACTTCTATTAGGAGTGGAGCACAAGGGGGCATCAGAGCTGTCTCTGGCAGGCAGGACTCGTCTTCCCTCACACTCAGGATATCAAAGTCTCTGCTGCATCAACTTTGACCTTTTTCTACTTTCTTTTTGAAAATGTATTTGAAAAGGCATCTAAGGGGTGCTTCTGGATTTAGTTGACTCGCATACAGAAACAACAATGGGGGTTAACTCAGCAGATCCAAGATACATCCTGATTTGAATCCCTTGTATGTGTCTATCTAAATTAAACCTATATGTGCCCCTACGTTCAAACAATACCCACAATGCAACTCAATAGCATGTTGTATTTTCTTAGAATTCAGAGAATAGTGCTCCTATAAGGAAACAGACCTTTATGTGTGACATTGCAGCAGAGACATGTATTTGTCCTAATCCAGGCACAGATTACAGGTATCATAGTTTTATCCAGTTAGACATTTTAATAGCAGATATGAACGGATATGTTTAAGAAAAGGAAATGAAACAGGTTTCTGAGTAATGTAACTTAACGTTTCCAAGTTTTGTTTTGCTCTTTCATATCATTGAACATAACTAACTTCCTGTTTACTTCAGAATGGCCTTTCAGATCAAACAACACGTAGATCATGTGAGACACTGTGGGAAAGTTGCTGCATTCAGGCCATGCACAGAACACACATTTCATATTGATATGAGAGAAAAACTCAAACACAGGAAGAAGAAAAGAGTACCGCGATAATAATAAATAGACACTTTCATTGTCAGAAATTATATAACAGGTCAAACAAAGTGTACCATATGGAAATAAACTTCAAAGATATTCAAAGATTGACGGACAAAAATGATATTTACTTTCTTTTAACAGTAACCGTAGCAACAGAAACATCCTATGACTGAGGTGTGTACTGGTCGTGTCAAGTTTAAAATGGTTGTCTTGAAACATTTCTACATTTCACTTCTGGAGTCAACTTTTTTTGGAAGAAGAGGTAAAACCATTCATCAAAGAGAAACCTTTGACCTTTGACCTGCTGGCTACATGTGCTGAGGTCCAATAGAGATTGACAACAAGGCTACGTACCGTCCTTACTTCACCCGGCATCGAAACACACCAACACACACATTCACACACTTCATCAACGTAACGGCAAAAAAATGATCCAGATGGTGAGCGATGAGCGATGATTTGAGAAACAACACGAGGTGATTTTTGATATGTGATTCGTGCAAACGCTCTGCTTTTCTTTCCATCTCTGTAGAAGCTGAATGATATTTATCTGATATAGCTATTCCTCTAAAACGTAGAGACATTCTTCTGTTTGGGTCGAGCAGCGGTCCGGAAAAGCATCTCTCCATTAAAGCCGTTTCTGTCTCGCTGAAATAAAAACTCATCCGATGCTCAGGGAATATTTTCAGGCAACTCTAGCAGGGAGAAATTGATCCTTTTTGTCTTAAATATTCCCTGAGCATCACGTTCTTTAACGCTGAGATGCCAGAAAAAGGCATTCTGGGGGAACGTATCTGGAAACACAGCTTCTATCTGCAGTACCTCTTTAGAATCTACCTAGAATATAACTTCTTGAAAATATATGGCTTTTTAAACAGACCCCAGCCGCCGGCCTGCTTCACTGCAATGCAGCGGGTGGGGGGGGGGGGGGGGGAAAGCAGCACAATAACAACAGTCTTCCTAACAACGATATAAGCTTCTGTCCAATCAGGCACAAAAATAAACACTTTTTCTTTCACACTTCAGTCCTTTGGTCTTTGGTAGAGATGAATCTCCTCGTACAGTATTACAGGAGATCTGTCTGGATAAAACAGAAAGCTACACGACTGGGAAGCTTTTTTCCTTTCCATCTGGGGGAGGGTCCAAGGTGCAGCTCAAACAGGAAGTTGATGTTGATGCAACACAAGCTGCTAGCTCACATCAGCTACATGGACGATTGTGGCGGCTGGTTTCTATACGCCCTGTCTTGGGTTTATTTAGCATGTCCAAACCAGGATAAAGTCCTTAGCTACCGCCTGACGTTAGCTAGCAAAAGTCCAGATCTCCAGAAATCTTTTGAGTCTACAAAGTACGTAAGACTGCTGAGAATGATGAATAAATAGCCCGATGAGAGTTATGTAACTGATCTGAAAGTAGAGATGTCTTTACTTTAAGTAAGGTGTTTCAGATCATGTCGAAGGACCCTATGAACAGCAGGAATCTGATAACGGTTGCCGCTCAAACGCTGAATGGTCTTCCTACTGGAGAAGCTTCCATCTGACGTCCTTCTCAACCTTTCTAGAGTTCAGGTATTAAACTACTACAAGCTGAAGCCCTTTGGTTTGACCGCGTTGCGTCCAGCATTGATCTTAAACCGGAGAAGCTTTACGAAATGGTTGCAGGGTAAGGGGTTCGCATAAAAAGGAGCCCCCCCCAAGCTCAGTGTGTCACAGTCAGCCACCCCGGGGGTCAGCAGTGGGTGACCTCGATGGGCGACAGCGTCAGGATGCTGCGGTCGCTGGAGCAGAAGTTCTCCGTGTCGCTCCAAGACCTGAAACAGGCAGCAGTGAGTGAGGGTTAGGAGAGAGAGAGTGTGTATGTGTGTGGGGGGGTGGGCGGGGGGCGGGGGGCGGGGGGAGATAACACACTGATTCCTGAAGGTTTGGGATTCTATTCTACATAAGCAGGCGAGAAGAAGCAGAAAGGGATGGAGAGTTAGTAATGGGTGGGATGGTGTTAGTGAGGAGTGTCTTAAGTCTCGCCTCATTTTCTCACACTTATTAAGGTCTAAGGATAACAAACGGATTCAGATCGTTACATGTAAAGATGTATTTTGAGTGATGTGGAATATTTCTGTTGTGTCCCGCTGCGCTTTACTCATTGGTTTGCAGAGGATTGGAATCAGATTAAGTGTGTTAACATATAACTTAATCAAAAGAACGTACAGATATCAAGTCCATTGTAATATGACAGAATAATAGCTATTAATTTTCATCAGTTATTTTAAGCTATTAATTGAACTATGAGGAAGGAACCTTGATAAGTTGGCATTGCACTGCTAATGCCGTTCATTATGACATTTAAACAGCAATAAAGGAACATATAAAACATTTCAGGTCACTACAAAAGTTCAGTTTTGATGAAGTTGTTCAGAGATAACTAATTATCCCGTATAACCTTTATGCCTCCAAATTGAAACAACGAGGGTTAGGGTTCATTGCTGTACAGAAACATGTAATTTCTCTGTACTGTGCATTTTGAAACCTGTTGAGGCGAGACTTGAGCTACTCATGGATAAAAATCATCCCAATCATAAATATATATATAAAAAAAAAAAAATGAAGATAAAGCATCAACAACATACTTTCCTCACATGTCCACTCTCATGATAAACTGGGCTAACCTCTGATTCTGCAGGTAAAAGACACATCCATACTCTGAGCTCAGTCGGGTATCGACTAGAAAAATACGAATCAGACTTTCTCTCGCACAATATTAAACATATATGTGTTGTGGAATATTTTCCAAGGCCCATAACTTTGACCCAGTGTATCAGTTCAAACTGTCCTGACTGAGCACAGGCACCTGTAACCTTGGCTGCTGTGCTCTCAGTGTTTTGTCTCCCTGTTCCTGCCTGTTGGCGTCAGCTGATAGAGGTGTTATCATTCTATCTTGTTATGCAGCATGTTGATGATGCTCTCTGAACTAGCTAAATACATGGGTCTGGGGTAGAGTTCTTCAGAATTGACGTGGCAACTCTACCGTGAAGTCAGAACCTCTGACTCTTGGACTTGTGATGTGAATCCTCCGGCCGTTAACTCCAAATAAACCATCATGTGTTTGACATCAAAGCTACTGCTCCTACCGTGTCTCCTTCCTGAGTCGGTGACTCCCACTGCATAGCTACACAGAAGTTTCCTCTACAATATGCATTTAGTACAAAATCTATGATATCATGTATTATAGAGACACGACAAAAGTACTTTCTGTTATTAGCTTAGCAAGCTGGATCTTCTTTGGAAAATGCACACAAACTCATCCATTTCTAGAGCGATCAAAACATTTCCCTCGCTGAACCCTCGGGCTGGACGAGAAGAGAAAATACAACATGCGAGTCACAGCCAACCCACCCCTAGCGTGCTGACTCACATCAGAGAGGGCCGGGGTCACTGATCAGAGCGTCTCCCCTAAAGCAGCAGAGAGGCGGAGCTTCAACACAGGCCGCTACACCTGATCTCCACATGACTGAAACGCCTGAATAGATGTGTAGCTGAACATACAACGAGAGGAGAACTGCACCTGTCCATCCACATCTTCAGATATTTCTTGATTTCTAAATGTCAGCTGCTTAACGTTAATACATTCTCATGACCTTTCATTTACCGCCGCTCTGTGAGATGAAGACAAGCGTTTTAAGACCTGGGAAACGGGGCCACCCAGGGACTTTAAATAGGCCAATGACTCAAAGTGCTCTGACTGGAGGCTCTCCCCACGTGCTACATCACCAGCTCTCTTTCTACCAGGTCAACCTCAAACATCTCAGGGCTGAAAGCATCTTTGTTCCCCGGGTTACGGCTGAACAAAGCACAAAAAACACTTTTTGTGGGAACATGAAGCCGAGAAAAGACCAGAACAGGCAGATTTTTTACAAGGCGAAGCTCACCAGGGATGTTAAACAGGCCATGAATAAATTATCTGGAAGGTCGAACAACATTATGCAGATTTAAACACAGAAGGACAGGCAGACAGGAGGTGTGTGTTACATACAGGTTTACAGTGTATACAAAGTACCAAAGGCAACAGCAACCCCCATGCAACAAGACAGAGTCTGGGTATTCTTGTTTTGTAGCCAGTATAGTGGACAAGACAGGTGGAGTTACATACTGTCTTTAAACCTGTGGAGAAGAAAACTCCACCCACCTGGAACAGCCCTGGGTATCACACAAGCGTACCCCCAAAAGGCCTCTTTTCAGAAGCACATATAAGGCTTCAGGATCCAGTAGAAAAAGACAAATAGTAACAGTAAGTAGCAAAGAACAAAAGACTCTCAGACTACATTTCCCAGCAGCCTCTCTGGTTAAGGATCTCCCTTTTCTAGGAGAAGCAGATGTCTGCAGAGATGTTAGAAAGCAGCTGAGTTTGTATCTGTATATATTGTTTCAAATGATGGTGCATTAAGTTCTGGTTCAAAACAGATACAAAAAAATTAAAGTTGTATGAAACACCAAGTAGGATGTTTTATTGTTGTTGGTATATAGTTGTATTGTGGATATAAGCCTGCTTATTGTATTTAAATGCTTTCAACAACGTTTCTTTATTTCAAGTACCTGGATGTTTAAGAAGCCTTTCTGGAATTGCCAATCGTAAAGCCCTCCTGTTTTCTATATTCGAAGGTACGGGTAAAATCAGTTTGACATGGCGATGAAAAAGCACTTCTTTATTATCAAAAAGCTCTTTGACTCCTGACGTCTGCTCGTGCTTGACGCCTCTAGCCATGATTCAGCGTTGCAACAACAGGCAGCGAGCAGCCAGCTACAGTTTGGCTTCCAATACATAACAGATATACGTTTTGTCTTACATATGTTTGTAAATATGCTTATTATATGTTCCTTCCAGTCATTTAGTATGTTGTATAGGACTGGGTGTATATATGTTCCCTTTCCCCTAAGGCAGTTTCCTAGCATTAAGGCCAAATCTGGGCAAGCTTGTCTTTTCCAGTTGTATTTCCTCAAACCCAGACGAAAAAGTAGAGGAACGCAAAGATTGGGTGAGGAGGTGAGGAGGTGAGGGAAGGAGAAAAGGGAATCAAATTCAGATCCAACTTGTCTTTGATTTGTCACTGAGTTTACAGTATACCGCACGGCTTTTTCCTTGTGATCATGTTCATCCTTCTAGGAGTCCACATTGACTGCTGTTGGAAGAATTCAACTGGCTGCTTCGTGCCAAGGTCAGAAAACAAATCAATCATTCCCACAGGAAGAAATTCCTCTAAATTGAATCGTGCATTTAGTGGCAATCTGACCCTGGAGCGATTGGGAAGCGTTTCCTTTCTTTCAGCGAAGTGACCCTGACTGAAATCGATTATTTCACGGAGCATATCCCACCCACCTCTGTCTGAAGAATAAAGAAGGGTATACATATTCAAATGTAGGACTTGTGTTATGCTCCTGACTGGGTGAATCAATGTTGGTAATTCATTTCTCACAGGGCGTTATTTTGATTACAAAGAGATGTCACATCCCATCATTCCATGTCTCTGCTATGAGATGTATCTCCCAGGCTAAAGTGAAGCAGAACACAGAACCTGCAGGTTGCTGTCCAGAGGGGCTGAAGGGAGGAACAGTGCATCCCCTTTATGACCTGCATGCTATCACTAACCTGAACACACACACAGTGATGAACAACAAACATGCATGCCTCTGAGCGGGCCACAGCAAAGCTCTCACACCCCAACAACAAGAAGAATGCTACATCTTCATTACTGATGTGATCGATACCCAGAGTCCCCAGCTGTTTGGAGAGTATTGATTGCTCGGCAGAAAGGGCCGATCGGGTCGATTAATCCATGAGTCACTGCGATTCAGACAAAGTGACAATAACACTGAAACTGCAGATCGGGCAGACTGTGAACGCAGCGCACTTGTCTTTAAAGCTGCGCTAGGCAAGAGCTTTTTATGAACAGAACAACAAGTTATAGATGTGTCATCATCGCAAAGTGGAGCTGCAGCAGAGAAAGACATTATCTGCTCTTGGTGAGAGCTCCCTTCTTGCAGTCAACTGACATCATGTGTCATTACTTTCACCCCTCAGAAATGCCAGGCCCCCATAATGCAAGATCGCAGCTTGAAAGTCCAAAAACCCGCCACTTACTGTATACAGCTCTTCCAAATCTCTTTTTATACAGTTTACGGACAGAAATGTGCAACATTTGACGTTTGGATAAGAAACGATTCAGCTAGTCATTATCCGGCCTCTTCTAAAAATGGTGAGGCCCTCCAATGAATAACAACATAAAACAAGCAAGTCAACTTAATTACTGACATATAGACAATGGTGTCATCTGTTAAAGTGCATTAAGGAGTAGGCAGTTCTACAAAAAGAAACTGGCTAATACGGACACCACACCTCTGATTTAAAGGAAGTATTGATCAGAATCAAAGCAGACAGACAGGGTATACATGATTATGACAGAGACGGGCTAATCTCTGCCCTGTCCTAATGTAGAGGCTAACCAGACAGGACAGGTTACAGTGCATTATTGAGACCTGTTGGATGCATGTATATCGAACCAGGTCTCCAAATTCTGCTTCTGCCAAACAAGGAAAGGATGGCCTTTTCAATGTTTTCAGTAAGGTCTCTATGATTTTGGTTACAATGTGAACGGTTATATTTATGATGATACACTGTGGACATTACACCGTTCTGACTTTTAAAAGAAAAGTGACTCAACACTCTTAACATTGACTTTGATGTAAATAAGAACATCATTACAGCTGTCCATGATGGCTTGATCCACACACCTTTCTCCTGGTTAGGTCGTTGTCCACCCTATAAGTCACACCCTAAAACCAGTCTCTTTTAAACCCTGCTCCACCACAGTTGTACGCCTAACCTGCAACGGATCTGAACAAGAAAGCCTTACAGTAGGTGTAGCCATATTAAGGACTAAAACACTCAGGACTCCAGCCCAAATGTTTGATCATCAGGGTTCATAATCACAGTTTGTGGTTGTCGTCCTCCCCACCTGTTGCTGCGGCTGGATGCGTGAGAATTGCTGGCGCTGGCCTGGCACTGCCCGGTCATTTGCTCCAGGAGGGAGGCCAGGCGGGAACAGCCGCTCTGCCCATGTTGGTAGCAGCACAGGGACTCCACACAGCTGAGGGCCGGGGGGGCTGATAGAGACTGGAGGGGGGAGAAAGAGCAGGGTTAGGAGGTTGGTGGTATAGGGTGAGACAAATGACAGAGGAGTAAAGAGGACAGAAGATGAAAAGCAAAAGAGAAGGAAGGAAGGAGGAAAAAAAGAAGAAATGAATACCAACACTGTACAGTCAACGGTCAGGGTGATTGATGACTGTAGGATGACATATTACATGCTGCCACAGGAAGAGTGATGGGCGGGGGAAACACTGAACGCATGCTACACAAGGGGTTGAAATGTCACAAATAAACACATAAATCATAAAAGCGAAGACAGACAAAACAAGGCTCTATAAAGTTGTGGTTAAGTAGAATACTTTGGTCCTCTGAATTGTTTGATAAACACATTGAATTGAAGTATTGTATGTTCTGAAAAGCCCCAGAGCTATCACATCCTATCATTGTGCATTATACAAGAAGATTATCTTGATATACTTGAAATTCAGTGCAAAATATTTTCAGTGTTAACTTAGATGTTGAATTACACCTCCAAGAAACCCCTCCCTGTATACATGAGTCATTATGAATCAGTGTTGCAGTGATGCATTGGGAGACAAAGATGAATGAAGTTGCTGCCTGTGAACCTGCAGGGTCACGCTGCTCTGTTCTGCTGACTCAGCCCCCGAGAGACAGACAGTGTGATGAGAGGAGAGAAAAAGTGAAGAGCAGAGAGTGTGAGGTTACACTCCTGAAGTTTGCATCCTGTACACTCCTCTTATACAACCTCAGACTAACTTAAGTGACCTAGATGGTGCCATTAATCAGCTTTATTAACCCTCCTATTGTCTTCGTTCCCCCCCCCTTACTTTGGTGTTCACGGTCAAATTTGACCGGTCCTGTTTTAACTGCTATTACATTAACACTAAAACCATTAATCATCACCAAATGTCTTTTAACACCCTTTCAAACTGTAGATATTGTATCAGACTACTGGTATACATGAAAAACTGCAGTAAATATACAAAGAATAGACACTGAACATGTATTGCGTGCGCCAGGTGTGATCCATGTGGGGGGATGGGCACATAAGAGCGGGAAATGTGTCAAATTGTTCTGTGTGTGTGTGTGTGTGTGTGCCAGGTGTGATTCACATGGGGGATTGGGAACACCATGGGTGTTACAAAGTTGACTAAATCATCCAAAATGCAATGAAAGTGGTGATCAGCAATTGTATAGTTCTAATGTCTACTGTGAAGGATGTCATAGCCTTAATGCAATCGAATGTAAAACAAAAAAGTTATGATTGATGAAAGTAGTAAATCGGTCAGATTTGACCCGAAGACAACAGGAGGGTTAAAATCCTTAGAAAAAATCACTATGTGGAGTTATTTCCAAAATGTGCTCATGTAGAAAACAACTTCTGATCTTCTGGACATATTTAGTCATTAAGCATTCAGCTAGGAGCGAGCGTCTCCTGTGATACAGTTTAAAGTCCTGTTTTGTAGCCGAGTGCCTTTTGTATTCCACTGTGTTTTGAATTGTTGCGACTCTCTGCAGCAGAAATTGGAGACGGTGTTGGCATCAAACCAAACTTCTGCTTCTTGGCTGGCAATAGCAAAACACAAACAGGATGATGTGATTTATTCTGGCAAGGTCAGGTGCCCCTGGATAATAAATGCAGGTGTTTTTCCATCCGAACATATTGCTTTTCCTCCCTCTGAGAAACGGCAAACAGATTTGTTTCTATAACTGTGACACAACAGCCACCACTTGAGCAAAGAGCAAAGTTGTAGAATGAGGTTTTCTGAAACACACATCGGGTCCAAACCGCAGCGAAGCCACAGCCGAGGAGGAAAGTCTTTCCTAGAGTAGTGTACAGTATATCTGTTGGTTAAATGCACTTTTATTAACCCTAAAATGACTGATTTAGCTAGTATTAATCCATCAATTGACTTTATATTTGAAGTAGCATCAGTTTAAAAGGGCTTCTACTGTTTCTCAGAAGCATCAGCAGGCAGAGTTGAGATAATTGGGTTTTGAGTGGTCGTCATGTTAAAAATGCTGTTTACGAGAGAGATAAACAAGAAAGTAGTTGAATGTAAGGTCATAAGTAATGTTTCTGAGCAATTGTTTGGTGGAAGTCATTTTTTGTTCTAGAGACGGAGCAGCAATATGATTCCTAGAGTAAAAGATCCGACCAAACCTTTGATAAACAGTGTCTGTAAACCGACTGCTTGAACTGAGGGTTTTGTTGTGAAACAGCCAAGGCCTCAGTGACAGCTATATTGGTGACGTCATCCGCTGGCTGATTTACTATATTAGCTATAGAGTTCAGCTAAAGTTCATGTTTGTTGACCATTTCTTTTTGCACAACCCTACAGTACAGGAGTTTGTTTAACCAACTGAGAAAACAACATCATTTTGGTGACCGCAAATGTAATAATCTATGTTTTAATATTAAATATGATGTGGAGAAAACAAAACACTAAAAGTCCAAAATTGAACAACAGCAACTTTAAAAATCATACTTAAAGGGGTTATACGAGATATCAAACACTTACAGGCACACATAATATACTGAGGCTTCAATATGAAGTATTAGTATGTGGGGATTAGATGGTTGAACAAATATACAGCGAAGCATGCCAACAGCATTCTCTCTCTTTAAACTCTGATCCCAGATCTGATCAACTACAGTGAGGGGTGAATTGAGGTCTTAACAGTGAAGGATGGGGACAATCATGGTTGGATGAGGATGAGATCATTCATGGAAGCGTATGTGTGGGAGAGGATGGGCCCATTCATACAGGAAGTGAGACTAAAGGATATACAGGAACAGTATTTGTGACATATGAAATAAAGGGCAGTGCAGGTGCAGCTTTGGGGGAATGACTGGAGGTGCAGGTAGTTTTCACCAAATATAATATACATATGTGGTGACTGCAGCCATTTGGGGTTGGTTGGTCCTCGGGGGAAGCCATAATGCTCGGACAGTGACAGGGGGACAATGGTAGTGAAGTATGGTACTACCTAGGGGAGCAGGGGTCTGGGCCGGGGGCAGCAGGGGGAGGATAAGCAGCTAGCAGGTGCCAATTGTCCTCCCCTGGGCTCCGCTGGGCTTTAACAGGGTCATATTCTGGGCCGACTGAACCCTCACCCTCTTCCATCTGAAGGACACAAGATGCTTACAGTGAGCCCCCTGGTGGGCTGTTGGTAGTTCAGACACAGAAACATGACCAGTAAAGCAAAACTAACCATCACACTGCTGCAATAGTATCCACAGGTCATTTGGTCCCATATTAAGGCTTGATTCAGTTGAAGTAATGGGATAACACCTCTCTTCAGATAGGGCTGCAACCATTGATTTTTAGATTATCAATAGAGTGGTGCAGTGATGAGTCCTAAAACCCGGAAGTGAGTTAGCATTTTACCACTACCGGTTCCCTCGTCTCAGAGTCAATGGGATTTTGACCTGTTTGATAAATGCAAGTTATGTTCAGCCGGATAATCTCCACATGTCTACCCTACTTTTATAATTTTATAATCATAAATCGAATCGCCAGAAGCAAAAGGCCAACGTTATGCTATACGAACTACAGCTGAGTACAGCAGGCTCGCACGACTTCGCCACGCCAACTTAAGATCGATATTAAAAAATACAGATTCTAAATTGAATTGAAAAGTTGAAGCGTTTCTTTTAACAGTTTGCATGAGTGCAGGTACTTGCTTTCAAGCAGAACAGGGCAAACTAACTTAGCGGGAGTGTTTACGTGTTCGGCGTAATGACGTACAACGTCCTCGACAACTTCTGTAGTCCTATTCAGCCACTCGGTAACAACCATCGTTTTTCTGACACGTAAACACTTCAAAAATCCCCAGTGGGGTCACTGCTGATGTTTTTAATGTCGTAGAACAAAACGTGATCCGTCTCTTCAATTTGTGTCAAACACAGACCTTAATTCCAGCTATTTTCCAAAATCCTATGGAGAAATCCCGTTGACTCTGAGTCGAGGGAACCGCTAGTGGTAAAATGCTAACTCACTTCCGGGTTTTAGGACTCGTCACTGCACCACTCTATGTATCTGTCAAACTCTTTTTCTCAATTAATCGTTTGGCGTGACATATATCAAATAATAGTGTATATTTCCAATGCAAAAGAAGATAATGTCTTTAAATGTCTTGTCAATTTAAAACCCAACGATATTCAGTTATATTTCAGTTAGAGGCTGAAAAAAAACAGCATTTTGGCAACTTAAACAACTAATCATTTATTCAAATGGTGATTTTTCTGTCATTCTAAACAATAAGTCAATTCATTTATTGCAGCTACTTTCAAATGCAATTATTGAAACGGGAAAAATGATATGATTATTAGAATTTTATCTTAAAATTTGGGCAATATAGGAAATTATTTCATACCATTGGTTAGTGTTTTACTATGTTTCATTTAGTTTTGTAAATGTATTTGAGTTAATATGAGACTAAATGACTGTGGATACATTTCAGTGTTGCTTATTTACCAACCAGTGAATTGTCAGTAGGTAAACAGTCAGTCGGCGAGTCAGTCCTACAGTGAGCTCTGATACACTAACACATACAGTATATATAGAGCAAATCAATGCTGGTCCTGTTGTTAAAGCCCTTCACAAGTGACCTCTCCAACTATTTAAAGTAAAAGAGTTGAGAGCACATTTTTTGCCTTACAAGGCAAATAAGAACCGCTGCTTCCTGTGGTTTGAAACACGACACCAATGAGCACCCCGGGTCTTATTCCCCTGATACAGACCTGGACCTCATCCTAATTGGCACTGTGAGGTTATCATAAATCACTGCTGAAGAAAAGGTCTTTCAGAAGGGTTGAGTGGATGTGATGAAGTCACTGGAGGAGGGCTTTAACTCTCACAAAAGCAGAGACAAGTGAACACAGAGAGAAGCTGCAGGCGTGAGAAAGATGTCTCGAGGGAAACGCATTCCTCGAGTGGAGATAAGAGCACATTTATTAGCATCCAAACCAATTAACCTGCTGCTGAATCTATCAGAGCTACAGAGAAGGCAAACAACGGAGAACCCAGGAGAGCCATCCGGGTTCTACTGCGATTACCTCTCTCTGATCTAATTAAGAAAAACAAAAGACTCCGATAGATGGTGGTACTATTGCTACAGAGCTGGATAGGCGCTTTACACAGCACATACACATAAATACATGCTTTGATTTGGAACCCAGTAAGAGCATCTTGTGAAGAAATAAATGACTTAAACTGAGGAAATGGGATCTCTTTTGCATAATGTGCTCTGTGCTCTCCCTTCCCATAGAGCACTTATGATCAGTCAGTCTGCAGTTTGTTTCTGCTCATTGACTCGGAAGGGGACTGCATGGCTTATATTGGGTGTGACTTGGAATATACACTCATTTGCCAGTGTTTCAGATTCACCTCTCCTAAACTACTGCAAGTTATATTACTTATGTGAAGCTACCAAAAGTTCAGTTTCAGCAAATACACCTTTGCAGAGGTAGGATTTATCTTCAGGACTGCATCCGTGTTCCAATGTTTTACACTGGTGACTGAATGTAATGTTAACAACTTTAAACATACAACTAGGCTATTATGTTGTTATAAATCCAGAGTAGCATTCTCAAGCTAGTGTTACAAACCATCAGTGGTAACATGCCACAGCTGTAAGGCTAAAGATATGCGTGCAGAAAACATGAAAACAAATACATAAACTTTCAAAATAAATTATCAACACAAGCAGTAAATAGTAAACACAAGCAGTAAATAGTAAATATTCAGATCAAATGCTTGGCCTATAAAATGTCAGAAAAGCCAATATTTCATGTTTGTTTTATCTCACCAGCAGTCTAAAACAAAAGGATGCCAAGCTTATAAATAAACTATACATTTCTTATGTCCAGACAGTGTTGTCCAATATCAAGATTCTTTGGAGGGCTTTAGGTCTTTTCTCCTCACCAAAGAGAACTAACACTATTGTAAGCGTTTCCTTTGCAATCGGTCTCCAAGGACGCATGCTATGACAGCACAAGATCTTCAAGTCATGAGTCTAAAACGGTTGTGATAATAACACAGCCGTTTATCACGCTTATTATTGGAAAGCATTATGCTGCTGCCCAAGTCAGCTCAGACCAGTCCAAGAGTCTGTCATGCAGCTGGAGTGGGGGGTCAGTTTGTGCAGGTGGTCTGCAGAAAACATGCAGGTGGACTGAATTCTCTGGAGAGAAGGTTGTATCAAGTGGGAAACCGTGCTCAGGTGTTTATTCACTTTGTCAAAAGGACGGACCATGCTGTAGATTAAAGGGAAGGTGTGATGGGCTGCACCATGCGACTTTAGGATATGTAACTGTGTGGCGTACCATACTGTGTTTGTATGACACGACCAGGAGCTCATGATCAGGTGCTCTGATTAGGGACTGATGCAGATGCAGGAAGTCACATTCAGAATGACCCTAAATAGTCCCTGTACAACAACATTGCTATTACACTTTATCGAGTGCTAGGGCGGAGTCAAACGTAACCCAATTACATCATTCATTCCCTCTCTCATTCCTCTGTATGTTCATGCAGTGGGGGTGTAATGACAGGGACCATGCTTTCATGGGCAGGAGTGGGGGATGTCTCAGAACACATTCTTTATTTCAGCCTGTCACTAAAATGCAACACATGCAACAGCTGAAATGCTTTATGTCACATTTTTGGCAATAAATCCTACCCCAGAAAGCCCCTACATATATGTATACCCCCTCCTCATCCTAATGACGGAGAATGCTGATTGGCCTGTTCAGGGCATGCAGTCACAGATATAACAGAAAGCAACTGTTCCAACATTATCAGCACACATCTCTGCAGTGCATGTGCTGTGTTAGGAACAGGCTTCAGTGGGACTAAATCAGGTCCAGACCAGGGAGGAAGAACATTTCTGATTGGCCTGATTGATCAAAAGCAGGAGCGCTTGTTACATAAAGCAATGTTTCACATTTCACTTTCGGGTTCCAAGACAAAGAGTGTCGTTCCCCTTCTCAAAATACATTCATACTGTACATTTAATTTGAACCTAATGTTGAGCTTTGCATCAATCAATCATCTTTTTTTTGTATGTATATTTTTTACTTTACTTTTGATTAATGGCAACTCAACAAAAATAATGTCAAGAAACATCATGTAAAGTTTTTGCATTAGTGGTGACAAAGATTGGTGTGGAACATGCTTTTTTTCTTGTGTCTATCATAGTCATCTAATACAATTATCATACTGATTTTATACATTTAATCAGCAAAACGTTGCAAATAAGAGGCCCTGTGGTAGTTTCTTAAAGTGCTATAATATTTGAAAATCATATATATTCAAACTAATGAAGAGAGATCACATTTAGAAGGAGCAGCATCTCTACAGGGAAAATGGACAAACCACTAATGCTGACTGACTATTAACAGATATACAGTCGCATCCCAAAAGCGTCTTGTATAGAAACACTGCTTCTGATAAAGCACTCCTGCTTAACTTGTTTTATTTGAATTGATTTCTGGATGTATTTTAAGCCCAGGTCTGAATCAGTCTCGTGTCCTCTACCTAATTTTGCCCAGCTGGCTCTTGGCTCTGGAGAGCGGCTGCAGAGCGATGAAGTCATCACCTATCGCCACACGGTTGGTATACATCTTCACCGGGAGCACACACAGAGAGGATAGGAGGAAGAACACACACACAGACACACAGAGAGGTTAGATAGCAAGGTCTCACAGACACACACACATTTAAACACACAGTTTAGAGTGTACCACTTTCAGAATCACACACACGCATATATTTAGGGACAAACAGGACAAAGGTTAGAGCGGAAACACCACAGAGGATTGGAATAGGCAGCTCCTGAGAAAGAAGACAAGAGTTTGGAAAGGAAGAAGGAATAATATAAAACATAAACAGTCACCAGCTGGACGAATCAATACAATAACAGCATGGGTCTGCTGAGAGGTGATCATGCACGCCGTGTGTGTGTGTGTGTTGGATTAAAATCATGCGGTGTGTTTTCATGTGCAACCAAACACCATGCTGTTCCTGTAAAGAAACGGGTAACTCATGACCACGGAGGCGGAGAAAAATATGAACTGTTGGAACAAAGTGACACAGAAAATACTTCCTCTCTGTGTCTACAATCTGAGTTACCTTGACATTTTACTTTATGTTCTCCCTCTCAGGCTCTTATCACATTACAGGAAATATCATTTCAGTTTTTGGCGATACAAGTAGGAGGGAGTATTAAATCTAACAGTGCGTACAGTAGAAGACAGCTTAACTACTGCAATGTGTTTGTCCTGTTCCATTTCATTACTTTGAATTAGTTTTACTTTGGAGCATGTGGAGCGAAAATGAAAAGCCCATAACTACAGATATAAATAAAAAAAACGTTAGGATTATTTTACTACTGTGGTATTGAGCCTGCTAGCCTCAAATTGTTCCCATTTATTGCAATTCATATCTTATCTTTAAATTATAATCTTATATCTGACTTTTTTCTCTCATTTTGACTTTTGAATCATGATTTGGCCTGACAAAAAGGTCATCTTGGCTTGATCACTTAACCACTTTAAGCTAAAAATAATCCAGGTTTGTAAATGTAGTCTACCTACACACTAAATATCCAAAACTCAACTTCTAATGAGAGCAGAGATAAACAAAGACAACATCTTCCATTCCCCGAGTCGGAGTAGACACAGAAGAAATGCAGGATAGTTCAAGAAGTTTCCCTAGAAAACGTTTAAACAGTGAGTAGAGAGAACTGCTGTGACTAACAGTGACTAAGGTGCTCCTTGGAGTCCGGCCAGCTCGGTGCAGGGCGTGTGAAACACTGGGAAACCTCTGAGGAAATGAGCAGATCAATCCTGGAAGAGCCTCTTTAATGTGCAGCCAATTAGAAATGGAACCTTTCCTCTGTACCCAGTAGAACCCACTTTAGCAGATTGGCTGGACTTCTTGACAAAGGTTCCCAGAAAACAACCTGTAAAAGTCCTCTTTCTGCCCCTCCCCCCCATGTTACCTGACTCTTCTGTGTGCTGGTAGGCTGCAGATGTCGGTAGAACACCTTCTTCACCACATCGGGGAGGAGGCAAGTTATGACGATGATGATGATGGCGAACCAGGCAGAGCCGCTGGACAGAAGCTGCATGAATACAAAGTACATGTCCTGCGTGTGGAGGAAGGGCCTGGAGGGAGGGGAGGGGACACAATGGTTACATAGTGCAGAAAAAAAGATGGAAACTTTTGTACACACAGAGCAGAGACCCTGTGAGCTTGAATGTGAAAGTTCATCTACTTCAGAAAGAAAAACATAGACTCTGTAAGGAACCTTTTCTTACCAGATGATGCCTCCATAGAAGAGGGAGAAGATGAAGTAGAAGGCAATTGAACCCCACGTCACAAAATGGTTCATCCATGTCCAGAACTGAGTCTCTAAAGCAAGCTGTTATTACACAAATAGACATACACGAACAAGCACATACAGGAGGGGGAGGAAATGAAAAGAATGCGTAAAACACTGACACGGGGACAGTTAAGGCATCACTAAACCACAGCATCCGTCTCTGTGCAGTAAAAAAGACCTTGACCCCGACCTGTGACAAATAATTTCCTGTTAATGGCCACGGACATCATCGTTATACTTCAAAACATACTGTAGTTTGTTCACTGTGGCGATATAAGTGTTTCCATATGGACCCAAACATGCTACACAGCTCTCAGTTAACCCCCAGAGTGACAAGCTATACTAATATTACACTGTCATTATACAACACAAATATCATGAATATTTACAGCTGAAAATAAAAAAGTATGTAACTATAGTAAGTAAGGTTATGAAAATAAAGTAAAATGATAATGTGATATCATAACAAACTAACAAATAGCAATGTGAAAGAGAGTGAGCATAACATTGGCTGTAATGTACCTTTAATGTGACTGTGATGACCATGACCGTGAACACCAACATTCCAAATGTCCAGTTCCCAAACATCTATAAAACAAACACTGAACTGTTAATGAAACTATCAACAGTATCACACTTTGGCAATAGAACAGAGGAATACTGGATATGTTTACATGCATGGACCCAGTTAATAACAACATAACAATATGCATGGTCGACCTGTTGTCTGCAATATTTATACTTTACAATTTCTTCTTCCTGTTGTGTGTTGTTCCTTTTTACCTCAGCAGTATTAAATAAGTACTAGTTCGCCAATCATTCAAATGTAAAAATATAACATTTTGTTAGCATTTCATTGCAAGAAATCCAAGTGGCTGTATTTGACATTAACCGCTTATTTTACTTGGATTGATCGTATTAAAACCAGTAATCTGGATCGAGGTTGGGAGTCAGGACAGGTGAGACGGTGAAAGGGTTGTGCTTTGGTTGTGGAATAGAAGAAATCAGACTCAGTTAAAAAGCTGAGTGGTTTTATGATGCCTTCAATAAAGGCCTGGACTCCTACCATGTCACCTCTGCCACTAGCTCCACCGCCTGCTATGAGAACCACTTTGAGAGCTGTGGGGAGCATTGTTTTGTTACCAGGCATTTCAGGACCGCTCTGGAGTCTGAACACTCAAAAGTAATAGTGAGAGGAATAAGGTGCAGCCAAACAAACACAATTCATGACCCCTTACAGGAATATTGTTCTAGTTCATTATATCGTTAAAAAAAAACATGCAGAATTGTTTACAAAAGTCCTTAAAAACTCGGCTCTGTGGAGCACATTTGTTAATAAAATGACTTTTGTTTTATGATCTATTTACATATTTACTGTAACCATCACCAGCTTTTAATTCATGACCGTACTGGTAACACTTTTGATAAACTTTGCACCTTGTCTAGATTTGTAATAATCAAGAACGAAATGACCCTGATTTTTTTATATTTAAACCATACAAATGTTATTGTATGCAAATTATCGTATCTGTTTGACTAACCATGTAACCCATTAAAAGTAAGCCGTACTGTACATACATACAATCTGCACTGTTCGTACAAATGACTTCGACCTGCACTCGCATCTGCACACTGACATGAAAATATATTTAACAATCCAAACTAAAATATGTATGTATGTTCATTAAAATGATCAACGTTTTCCTTGTTGTGATATCTGGTACTAACAGTTACTTATATGCTGTTATTTGTAATTGTATTATCCTTGTGTGAATCTGTACTGTCATGTTTTTCACTCTCACTCTGTTGCTGCTTTAAAGGTCCCATGTCATGCTTTTCCGGTTATTACCCGTCCCCTTGTGTGTTATGAAGGTTTTTCTGCATGTAAACGGTCTGCAAAGTCACAAACCCTCAAAGTACACCCTGTAGCGAGTACAACTCTAACACAGAAAAGACGTGTCTATGCTGCCCTAGAACGCCTCGTTGGAGATTTTTCTTTTTCCATTTTTTCCTCCCTGGTCTAAGTGACGTAACGACAACCAAATGGACCAATTGGTCCGTGGAGCTCCTCACACACACTTGGCGTCACTATCAAATGCAGTGGGGGGACCTTTAGCGTCGATTTTCAACTATCAGGGAGTCCCATTGACTTGCATAGAGCTCCCTGAACGTTGGTAATAGACGAGTTGGGATCGCAGAGAACACTCACTCAGCCTTGTCTTTTCTCAGGCTGTGAGTGTATGGCGAACAGCCTGGCTGTGAGTGTGTGTGTGTGTGTGTGCTCAGGCTGAGTTCCGCGCTGTCTCGCAGCAACCAGGAAACGACACCAGTAACCCAGCTCACACTGTCCGCTCCTCGATCCTCAAAGGGCGGAGCAGCAAGCCCCGCAACGTCCCGCCAACACGGCACCCAGACCCCACGCAGCATTCTCATCTGTTTGTCCTTACTGGTGTCATTTCCTGGTTGCTAACAAACGCCATTGTAACACATAATCACTGATGTTCCGCTGTAACGGTGGTGGACTCATCAGAACAGAGTGGGCGAGCTGACCAATCAGAGCACAGTGGGCTCACAGGGAGGGGGGGGGGGGGGGCAGGAGCTCCAACAAGGCGTGTAGGACAGAGAGTGAATACACATAGTATATAGAGATGCTGAATGAGAAACCAATGTGAGTTTGGAACATTGAACAATGTCAATCTATTCTAGTAGACCTCAACAATGGAATTATGATCAGTAGAAATGGCCATGACATGGGACCTTTAACTCCTGAATTTCCCCATGGGGATTAATAAAGGTACACGGCACAATTCTAGGATATATAACTATACAAGCAAACACTTGAAGCCTGTGGTCTGTATGTTTAAAGGCAATGATATATTCATGTGTGGATCTATTGGCCTTTTGTTGTATGTAAATGTAGTTGTCTATGCAGTAGTAGTAGATTTTTTTAAGTAAAAGTTTAAATTCATGCAGGTTACTACAACTATATTTTAAGCAAAATGCACATTCCACTGCATGTTTTCTAACTTCCATCATACTGCTCATTTCAATATTTAAAACAAAGTATAGGTATGAAAAATCATAATTTTCTACATCATCATTAGCAAGACAACAATATGTTTAGGAATCATGCTGATAGTCCTCTCATTACCCCCCCCAGGAAGACATGCATTCAACTGTAGAGCAGACTCTTACCAGCTGCCTGTTAGCTCGCAAGATCTGAAGACATGCACAGCGTGAAGGTAGAAGGAAAAAAGAGAAATCAACGAAAGATAGAAGAAAAAGACAAGCGAGTGAGAGCTACAGGAGTGAGTGCTTTCTGAAATACCAAACTTTAGAGAGAGAGACGGACGGCAAAGTAAAATGGAAGGAAATTGATTTAGTGATAAACCAGAGACACAGAAGATATGAAAAGAAGAAAAGGTGACATTAGTAGATATACTGACATACATGCTAGCACAGATATAGAGACAAACAGTGTACAAGGTGGTTACAAAAAAAAGACAGAATGAAGAAGAGACAGATGAAAAACGAACTAGATTAAGAGAAGGATTGACTGAAGAAATACCTTCAGGCAACCAGCCCCATCAATAACAATAACTCATCATAACATGGATACACACATTTCTTTCTAATCTACCAATCATTTCCTACAGCAACCATTCTGATAAGGTAAGCAGGACAATTCATTTTCTAAGGATTTTACTATAAACACACACTCAACAACCATACACACAGACACACACAGACTAGATCACCTGTCCATTGCCCATGAGCGTGGTGTCATCTCCCATCAGTATGTAGGATCCGAAGAAGAAGATGAAGGCGTGACAGAAGCCCAACAGAGTCCAGTACAGGAACGTCCGGAAAGACAGCAGGGAGTTCTTGCTGATGTCCCTGTAGGATACAGAATTTTTTTTTTTTTTTCTGAGAAGAAATATATTGTATCATATCTGTTGTGTTTCACTGTGCTGTATAAATTATTATTTTGACGTTTAAAGACTGATATAAGAAACATGTTTATTAAGAAACTAGGCCAGAGCAAGCTACCTGATTCTGGTTCATGGGCGTGACATAAAAACCGCATACCACGGATAGTATTATTCTGCTTTTGGGAATAATACCCTGACTAGTATGTTGTCATAATTGCTTAGCAACATGCTCACAGAAGAACACCTCCACCAACATGACGCTTCTTACAAATTCAAAGTAACAAAGTAAAATGGATAAAAACCTCAGACAAAATGAAAACATTTAAGATTAACTCGAGAAAACATGTGCTAAGTGACATGCAGGGATATGTTAAGAGGTCAATGACTTGGAAAAAACTAGCTCACATCAGGCTGTGACATATTTTAGTGGGAATGCTGACACAGCATTCCAACTATCTGTTATGCTACGCACAAAATTCTTTATTATTCCGCCGGGTTATTTTGCACCTCTTCTTCTCCCACATTGAACATCGCAGAAACTCCGTTCACACATCAAAACGTTCAGCTCGGTCGGGAATCGATGGCTATTACTTTTCTTATTCATAACTTTCATAATTCCAGAGATACATCCCATAATTCATCACATTTTAACGTGAAGGTCAATGGAGAAACTCTTCAGACTTGAACAATCTTCATGCAACTTCAACTGCTAACTGCTCCTTCATACTTTCACTCAGAAACCTCATTCCAACTTTAAAATGTTACACATCTTTCTGACATTATTCGTGTAACACAACTTTTAAATATGATTCGTACTATTAAAGATATTAAACATTGTTCAGACCTTGGTAAAGAGGCCTTCTTCTGATTTTAGATAGCGAGATGTCACAGCTAGAGTGGAGGACAGATTTAATTTTGCCTTCATATATTTTTTTAAACCTGCCATAATTCCCAAACCCTACATTCCTGAGACATAATCTTTCATGAGAAACGTAGGAAAACATTTCGTAGCTTGAAAAAAAAAAAAAAATTAAGCAAAATAATTAAACAAAATGCCTCTTGAGGGCATGAAGTGACAACAACTTTCAACATTAAACCCCATTGTAAGTTCAGCCTCACCTTTCCTCACCACAGCAGCCGCACACCTTTAGTTAATCTGCCAAAAAGGCCACATTATTAACCCGAAAGTATACAAAAAGTACACTTCAGGTGATCAAGTTCCTTGACATGCTTCACGCTTTGAAATTTCACCGATATCTGTTACGGTTCTTCAACAAAACGTTCACATGTAAGAGGTTTATCTCTCATTCAGAACAATGAAAATGCTCTCCTCTCACTGATTGACACACCACCATGGAAACCTTTGATCTCTGGACACTTCGTTAGCTCAAATATAAAACACCTGTGTCATGGAACACGATGATGTCATAATTCCAACTGACATGCCCAGAGCAGCAGACTTCAGATAATGGTTAATGGTCCTGCCCTCAACAGCTCTACGTCAATTATGGGGTGTCATCATATGCCGTTCCCATGGATACGCATCCCTCGCCATAAGACACGATGTCGCTGTAACTCCAATGGACATGGTCCGATCGTCCCCCAAACTTTGCTTGTTTATCACCGGTCCATGCCTCAACAGCTTTATGCCAAATCTGAGATCTCACCATAGGCTGTTGCCATGGAAAAGCACCCCTCGCCATAAAACACGATGTCACTGTAGCTCCAATGGACACGGTCCGGTCGTCCCACAATCTTCACCTGTATATCACCTCTCCATGCCTCAACAGCTCTATGTCAAATCTGACATCTCACCATATGCCGTTTCTATGGAAATCCCTCGCCATAAAACTCTGAATCTTCGACGCAAACCAAAGTTAGCCATGGAGTGCCACAGGGCTCAGTGCTTGGGCCTATTTTGTTCGCATTGTATGTGCTTCCGTTGGGCAATATTATAAGGAATCATTCTGTACATTGTCATTGTTATGCGGATGATACTCAACTATATTTATCAATCAAGCCTGATGAAATTAATCATCTAAATAAAATTCAAGACTGCCTTAAGGACTTAAAAACGTGGATGACCTTAAACGTTTTGTTAAACACGACCAAAACTGAAGTTATTGTACTTGGCCCGAAGAATCTACGAAACAAATTATCTAAAGATATACTAACTATGGATGGCATTAATTTGGCCTCCAGTGAGACTGTAAGCAATCTTGGTGTTATATTTGATTTATCCTTTAACGCCCACATAAAATCAATTTCAAGGACTGCCTACTTCCATCTACGTAACATTGCAAAAATCAGGCATATCTTGCCTCAAAACGATGCAGAAAAACTAGTCCATGCATTTGTTACTTCAAGGCTGGATTATTGTAACTCCTTATTATCAGGGTGTACCAAGAAGTCAGTCAAGTCGCTTCAGCTGATTCAAAATGCTGCAGCTCGTGTACTAACCAGAGTTAGGAAAAGGGACCACATTACTCCTGTTCTGGCTTGCCTTACACTGGCTCCCTATAGAACACAGGATAGAATTTAAAATTCTTCTTCTCGCCTACAAAGCCCTTAATGGGCAGGCGCCATCTTACCTTAAATAACTCATTATACCCTACTGTCCTACTAGGGCATTGCGTTCCAAGAATGCAGGGTTGTTGGTTGTTCCTCGAGTCTCTAAAAGTACAATGGGAGCCAGAGCCTTTTCTTATCAAGCTCCACATTTGTGGAATCAGCTTCCAGTTTGTGTTCGGGCGGCAGACACCCTATCCGTTTTTAAGAGTGCGCTTAAGACCTTCCTTTTTGATAAAGCTTATAGTTAGGGCTGATTAGATTCAGCCCCTAGTTTTGCTGATATAGGCTTAGTTTGTCGGGGGACACCTTACTTCTTCCTTCTTTCGGTCTATACCTGTGTACTCTCATGTTCCGATTAACCCAGCTTCCCCAAATGTCTTTCTTTTTGGTGTCTATATACGCCGGGATCCGGAGTCATGGATGATCCTGTTGCTGCGGTCCTGTGTCCTGGATCGCGAGCCCTGGATCTTGAGTCGTGGTTGTGGTCCTGGATCATAAGTCCTGGATGGATATCCTCGTGGATTCATCTTCCTATTATACACACATGCATTTCCAAACATTTGGACTACCTATGTTGCAAATGTATTATCTTTTCAATTTACACACGGCATCTATTGCACGTCTGTCCGTCCTGGGAGAGGGATCCCTCCTCTGTTGCTCTCCCTGAGGTTTCTCCCATTTTTCCCTTTAAACTGTGGGTTTTCTCCGGAAGTTTTTCCTTGTACGATGTGAGGGTCTAAGAACAGAGGGTGTCGTATTGTCATACTGATATTCTGTACAAACTGTGAAGTCCACTGAGACAAATGTAACATTTGTGATATTGGGCTATATAAATAAACATTGATTGATTGATTGATTGATTGAAAACACGATGTTGTCGTAACGCCTATGAAAAGGGTCAAAACAGCAGCAGACTTCAGATAATGGTTAACGGTCCAGCCCTCAACAGCTCTACGTCAATTATGGGGTTTCATCATATGCCGTTTCCATGGAAACTCATCCCTCGCCATAAAAGACGATGTCGCTATAACTCCTATGAAAATGTTCAAAAAGTGCTCAAACTTCACTAACAGTCCAGCCGTGAAGACATCTACGGACAGTTTTGAGATTTCTTCAAATGCCGTTGCCATGGCAACACAATGCTCGCCATGAAACACGGTTTTCTCATAACTTCAGTGAAAATGCTCCAAACGGCCGCCCAAAACTTCACAGGTTTGGTAACGATGCAGCCATCAACGCATCTAAGCGTGTTATGGGATGTCATCAAATGTTGTTGGCATGGCGACAGATCATTCGCCATCAAGTTAGTTAAAAAGTTTGCAGTTCAAATATTCTGCTGCTTTTCCAAGCCTTTTTACTTTATTTTCTTCTCTCATCACACATTCAAGCCCCCAGTGTTCATGTATAATTTCAATCTAAATTATTCACTTTCTTCTTACACATTACATTTCAGCATAGCAGTTTAGCGTCAGCTTTTCAGCATAAAGCATTCCCACTAGCAATTTCTTCAGGAATTGCATTCTCTATTACTACATACTATTTTGTGCTTGTTCTACCCAAAATGTAAACAAAATGTATTTTAGCCATCTTTGTTAAACAGTAGCAATTTGTGAATGTAGATGGTGTACCACAAAATAATTTACTATGTTTTTCGTATACATTTATGGCAGTTATACATACATTTTGTATATATGCAAGCGACCCTTAAACAGTTATTGCTTTTGTATAATATTACAGAGATGACATGTGAGCTTACCTGTACAGGCCAGGTTTATTCTGCAGTACGTGTGGATGGACCAGCTGTTCAAATAGGCTGAACACCAGGATGGGAAGCGAGGTGAAGCAGATGTTGTACAGTGTCAGATAAACACTGTCATACAGAGTCTGGGACGGAAAAGAGACAGCATTTCACTTAACACAAACCCATTAGACCAAACTTAAACAAACCGGTTATCTTAGATAACTTACAAAACATTTAAAAAAAAGACAAGAGCTTTATCAGGTTTGGATACACAGGCAAAAAAGAATGGTTGTAATTTCTTAGGGTCTCGGACAGAAGTAATTACTTTAATAGCAGACAGAACTTTAGATTTAATGCCAATAATAGTCTAATAAATAATTCAACTCGAGTTCTAAAGCGATGTGGTGAAGAGTGAGAATGAAGAGTTTAAATGCAAAGTGGGACATCCACTGTTTAAATAATACAGCAATTTTCACAGGCTTCCAGAACAACATTTCAAACTCAATGTTCTGGCTTATTGGGCATTTTAATTTTGAAATAAAAAATGCAAATCAAACAGGATATCAAACTCTCTCGAGGGAGGTATTTAAAAAGAAACTTAGGTATAGTTAAGAATGCATTCTAGGAAGCCAATGGCATTAAAACCCTAAACAAATCTACAATGACATGAAATAGTGGAGGGTGTATAGATAAAGAGACTTACTTGTTGTGAAAACAGACAGAAGAACTGGTATAAAAACTGGGGCGTGATAAAACACACGTTCTGGAAAAGAAACAGTGAAAAACGAAACATAAAAAATATTGCAGTGAAAGGAGAGATGGCCGAACACTGGGCCTTGTAGAGCTCTTACAGACTTATTCAGCTCAAGACATGGAGTAGTGCGAGTCCAGTTTAAAAAGCACTTTTCAAAACTCTGGATTCTGGATCATTCTGTAGCTTGTAATACAAATAAAATATGCAGATATATTTAAGTAACTCACCTTGTAGAAAAAGTACTGTACAAGCGTAGCTATTCGAATATAGTAAAAGTGACCGTGGACCAGCAGAAGTTTAGCCAGGAACTTAAACCTGGGGATTGCATAGTCACTGTTTCTCACGGCCTGACGACCCTCCTTGCCCATGATACCTGCACACACACACACACACACACACACACACACAAACACACACACACACACCACACACACACACACACACACACACACACACACACACACACACACACACCACACACACACACACACACACACACACACACACACCACACACACACACACACACCACACACCACACACACACACACACACACAACACACACACACACACACACACACACACACACACACACACACACACCACACACAAACACACACACACACACACACACACACACACACACACACACACACACACACACACACACACACACACACACACACCACACACACACACACACACACACACACACACACACACACACACACACACACACTGAAGGATACACTGGACAATACAATATCAAAGTTAGAGAGCACACTGTGTTTGAGGTGACTGTTTACCTATGCCCACATGAGCTTCCTGTATCATTACTGACATCATTGGCTCCGTCCCCAATAGCTAGGGTGATTGGTTTCTCTGGGGAGGTTTTTTAATAGACGCACCACCTGGACAGAACAACATATCATTGACACATGGACACGATGGTAAAGAGTTTTGGTGTGTGTGGGTGTGTGTTTATGGACTGGTACCTTAGCTTTCTGCAGTGGGGCCATGCGGCAGCACAGCACAGCTGAACAGTTTTTACACACTTCCATAAAGAGTTTCTCGTGTTCCCTCAACGCTAAAGACAGGCTGGCCCCGTCCACGACTAACCCGTGCTGTATGACATGGTCCTCCTTGATCCTGGAAGAAATCAGAGAGCAAGTTTAAGAATACAATATGATTAGTTATGGATGAGGAGAGCAATAGAAAGAACTACTACATCTATCTAATGCTGTATTCGATTTGACTGTTAGTCCATTCAGTAGCAGATAATCTTGTCACTTTATGTTTTGTTTTCTACACATTTATCACAAACAAATCCTATTTTTATTTAGAGTGTTTCTAGTTGAAATATTTAGCACTTAGAAGCACTTTTGAGTTTTTGTTGGTGTACAGTAAGTTGAAGCACCCAAATATGGTATTTAAATATTTACGTCCAGTTTTCAGTTGGGACACAAGCATACAAACAAACAGCACTTTAATCACTGTACCAATTCCTGCCCTTGACTTTTATTAGAGCAACAAAGTAGGCCTGCCTACTGCAGAAACATTTCCAAAAACTGGCATCTTGAAAAATGAAGAGTATTTTCACGTTTTTATTATTTACAAAAAACCTGACTGTTAAACCCATATGCAGACAACAGCGTCAGGACATAATTCAAGTGAAAATCATGCATATAAAAAGAGAGCTCCGATGTAGCTTTAAGATGCATTTTACGACACGCACTCACCTCCTGTCCAGTCTGCGGAGCTGCTCAGCACAGTCGTTATCAGAGCGCTGCTGCAGGAGCTCCAGGATGTTCATGGTTCTGTGGAAGTGTCCGCAGGACAGGCTGACGCTGACCGCCGTCTCATGTTTGTCCCCTGTCAGCACCCATACTTTGATCCCTGCCAGACGCAGAGCCTCGATGGTCTCCTGTACTTTCTCTTGGAGTCTGATAGAGACAAGAGTAGGAAATAGTATAAAATAAATGTACTTATGTTGTATGCGCTGTTTATTCAAAGCTTTTAGTGATCCCTTTGTATAATTACATTATAGAGTTGTTGTGGCTGAGGCCAGCATTAAAAACCTGGTGTTTTACTACGGTTGTCATTATGTGGTCAAGCCACAAAGGCTTGGTAGGCAGCTAAAGAGGCCATGATTCAATACACCTATTTTGGGATTGGCAGGAAGCTCTTTTTATAGGATACAGACAGGCAAGGTCTGCGAATATACAAAACCTTCTTCAAACCAAAAAAGATCAATCCAATACATTATGGTTGGATAAATAGGTAGTCGTAGTTTAAACAGACTTATTCAAAAGCAACACTGAAGGAGGGTGGAGACTTTGAAAAAAAACTCTGATAATATGACCATGCCTGTCAGCGTTATTAGGCTCAAGAGGGGAATTCTAGTAACGCCTTCCATGATAGAGAAGATCCTTTGATTGTGACCATGTGTGCCTGAGGAGGAATTCATTACAGATGCAGAAACAGAGCAGTGGAGATAAACGACGGGAGAAAGGAGAAAGGCTTATGTGAGGAGCAGATGGTGAGCTGATGCAAACTCACATCAACATTCACTTCCAGAGAGGCTCAGTGGGGTGAGGCTTCTTTCTCCCTGATGACTATACGTTGTTTGTTTGTTGAAGATTCTCCTGCTCTTTTTGTTTATCTGTCTGTTTATAGTCATGTGTTTCCAACTGTTGTACAATCTGCACTGATGTCAAACTATCTCAGTTTAATTTCTTGGAACATAACAATCTTCAGTTAGTTATTTATATTTCTTAACCTCAAGAAAAGTCCCATCTTTGAGTGAAACAATTACATTTCCTAGTTACAAAACATTTCACAAGACTAATGATGTTCATAAATTACATTCTTGCAGGAAGGTTTCCCATGTCCCCCTTCTTTGTTTAGCGTTTAAGCATGCTACTTTTAACTTATAAGCAGTAAACCTCTAAGTGCAGCTAAGGCAGATGAGAATGCAATTAGTTGATGAAAACCAAAATGTTGGACAAATTACATTTTACTGGCACAATCTGCGTGGACTACTAAATTACTTTGAGTTACCTTCTGGCTATTTAATCTTGACAATCTGTTTTTAATGGTTTAAGGCAACCAATCCTAAGTGTCTCATTTAAATAAAAAGCATAGAAGTCAACCTGCAGTCAAATTAGTTAGAAAAAAGTGAGGAGATAATCAAAGTCAATGGGTTAGCCCTTTGGGTATCATTAATGAATATATACATATATATATATATATATATATATGTGGAGATATTTCACTCCTGACGTGAAGGGCCGACCAACCTTCAGACCAACATCATCATTTATACAGCCGTGCTGCTAACTGGCTTTAAATGCACAGGAGGCACTGAAACATCAATCTAAAGCTACAATACAGTACATTGATTTTTCTTAAAGCTAACCCTGCGGAAATAAAACATATGTTTTATCTAAACATTTACTATAGGTCAGCGCTTTTCAAAGTGTGAGGCGCGCCTCCCTGGGGGGGGCGCCAGAGAGCTTCAGGGGAGGTGCAGCGTGAGAAAAAGATAACGAGAAAAAGATGAGTAAAGTGTCACTTGCACAATTTTGGCTGTCTCCCCCAACTCGCCAAAAAGGCTGTAAAAGTGCTCATTCCCTTCACCTCCACCCAGGGGCGGACTGGCCATCTGTGTGTTCTGGAGAATCACAGAACGGCCGGTCGTTCAGCGGGCCGTTTCCACGCAGCGAGGCTCCCCCAAGCCCCTCCCCCCCCCGTTGACAGTTCACGAGCACCCCCTCAACTATATTAGGGTAGAGGAAATAGGGTAACCTAATTCCAACACTTTTAACAAACTAACATTTCGGTGCTGCTTTCTGTTTGGACTGTAAAGATTTGTATGTGATGTGAAAGACGACATATGCATAAGAGGTATGAAAATGTGTTTTTTTAAAGGGGCAGCACTGATTCATTTAAATGTATTTGTTTGTGTTCATACTTGTCCTCGACCCCCGTTGCTCCAAGGAGATGCAGGTCTCTCTCGATGTAGCTGAAGGCCTCCTGCAGCCGCTCCTCCCTCTGCTGCAGCGCGGTGCGGGCTGCGTTCAGATGCCTGTCCACATCAATGTACTCCTCCGGGCTGAAGTGACGACATGCTACAACCAAGGTCCGCAATCCTTTCTGCAGTGGGAGGAGGAAGGTGGGCGTCAGTCAGAATATAAGAAATGTAAAAAAAAAAAGGACAGAACAGAATATAAAGACAGGAAGAGGTGAGCTTTGTATAGAGGAAAGCGTGAGTGAGTTAAGAATATGTGTAAAGGAGAAAAAAGAAGGAAAGCAAGCTGAAAAAAGGCAGAGAAAAAGAACAGAAAACACATGATCAGAGCTTGGCTTTAAATCACAGAACCAGCCAGAGGGGAAGACGACCACAAATCAACCCGGTCCAGAACCCCGTCTCCCGGGTACTGACGTCCGATGACATGATGTGGGGGCCAGATGTGTGTGTGTGTGTGTGTGTGTGTGTGTGTGTGTGTGTGTGTGTGTGTGTGTGTGTGTGTGTGTGTGTGTGTGTGTGTGTGTGTGTGTGTGTGTGTGTGTACAGTCTGTCTGTGTTTGGACCGGTTGTGGTGAAGAATTTATAGTCTAATAGGAGCACAGAGCCAAAAGTAATCACTTCAGTGCCTGGAAATGCCAGGCCTGCGCACATAATGAACACGCACTTCTGATGATATGGATCAGGGGGCAGGCCCACGGCCATCCATCCACTAAACAGATGTGTAATATAGTCATGAAAGCTGCTGGAGAGCATCCATGTTCTCACCAAGGCAAACTCATCAACGTGTAGTCTCGTCTTTTCGATCTCACCACTGGTAGCGAAAGGCAAGATGGCCGACTCAGCGCCCTTGGTGAACAGCACTTGGCCACCTTTAAAGTCAAAACATAATAAGATGATACGTTGTCAAAATACTCTTAATGCAATGGAAAACATTACCTTGGTACACAAAATGAACTAATGAAAACCCTTAGAATAAACATCACAACAAGGCTATATAATGTATTTTTAATTGCAGTTTATATTACTTTTTATAATTAGCGTTTTATTTATTTTCCATCTTCTGTTAGACATCATGATCCATTGCTCTTCCGTAAAGTGCTTATTATTGCTGCGGTAAATATATAGTCAATAATGCTAAAATACTGTATACGTTCAGGTGGAGTTACCTGAGGGAGTCTGCAGTATGACGCTCATCCTCCTGCGGTTAGCGTCAAACTCTAACACATGGAGCAGTTTGTATCTGAGGGAGCACACTTAGGTTAACCTCACTTTGGACTCGCAGGACAGAAGACACAGTTTCTTTCCTGCGAATAGATGTGTTTGTATTGCATGGTTATTTGTTGTTCATAGTATTAAGGGGTTAGACTTACTTTTCTGACTTGCCAAATGTTTTGATCTCCATGGTCTCTCCACTACAGCGAGTGAATTCCACTCCCAGCCTGAGGAAAAAACAGACAGCAGTTAAAGTGACCTTCTCTGGAGAATGGACTATCTGACCTTTAAATACGGGGTCTTTATAAGAAAAACGATGTAACTTTTAGCTAGAGCAGTCTCCTCAGGCCACTCAGGACTCTATTTCAGCGACAAGTGCTAAGAGGTAGATATTTAGTGCACAGTCTCTATGTTCACCTGCTATTTTGGCTTATGTACTTGCAGCAGGGCAAAGTGCAAAAGCTCTGGGGCCTCAGTTATAAAGCCTTGCGTAGGATTCACGTGGGATGGTTGCTTACGTAGGACAAAGCAAATAAATACGCACAGACATTTTCAGATTCATAAAACACTGCGTACTGCGTTTCCCTTTATAAATCACAATCAACTCGAAATGCGGCGCAGCTTTTGCGGGCTTCACATAACGCCCATATTTGCCTATAAATAATCAAAGAAACGCCCCGTATTAATATTCATTTTGATTGACTGCATGAAGAAGATCGCAGGAAATGACGACAGAACAGCTAAAAAATACATTTCACACCGTGTCAGATTTTGGTTATTTTGTGGAGGTCGAGATAAATCATATTGTTTGGTGGATGCAGTTTGAACCAGAGTAGCAGCATGGAGGTCGGATCGTCACCAACATAAATAAATAAGTGGTCCGAAAAAAGTTAATGACTAAAAAAATACACATAACCTTCCCCAGACGGTGTGTCAGTGTGTTTGTGCCGGGGACAGGAGACCCCCCCATGATGAGAAACTGTAAGAAGGTATCGGGGGATCCCTGCGGAGTGGAGTCAATTCATGTTTATTTTTTTTATTTGGTGGTTTGTGTTCCAGCTATCAATCAGCTGTGCGCAGCGTCTCCACTGCAGCAACTCTATATCCACCAGTTAAAGGAAATACAAACTAATGTGTTGCGTTATATTAGCTGCCAAATCTACCAAATACATGGTGTTCTTAGTTTCCATACCTCCTGTGTTTTATGAGCGACTTATCAAGTCTTAGCAAACGGCATAAAACACGATTAAACATGACAGTATAAAACCATGCTCGTATCTACAACCTATAGAAATGCAAAACGGCGTCAGTTTAGACGTAATTCTGTCCTGCTTACCGCATCATTTATGAGAAAACATGTCATAACATTAAGACAACATATTCATATGATAAATGAGAGGTAACATTTTATTTATGGTATTATTTCCACATATTTCTCTCCATTCTTCCTTCTGCCAACGGTGTCGCAGTTTCTCGTCTCTCCCGTTTGTGTGCTTAGTGCGTACACATGGGTCAGAGTTTGCGTGGAGGACCGCACATTTTCCCGTCAAGTTTTTTATAAATCGCAAACATTGCTTAGAAACTGGCGTACGCCATCTTTTGAGCATACGCACCGTTTATAAATGAGGCCCCAGGATGGGGTTGTACACTTAACATGTCACAGCACTATTCTCATTATTAAGGAATTGGCAAATCACAATACAGAATACCAACAACAGCAGAATAAAGTCCAAAGATATGTAATACCAATATCTAATAGTAATCTGACCAACTGTGACTCCTTTTTAAATAAATGGTGTTGTAACAGGTGTTATGTTTGCAGGTGAATATTGAGGTTATGTTTCCAACTGTGTCTGCTTTCAGTTTAAATTAAAACACAAAAACAAAACAGAACAGATGCACTGTCTGGGGCCAAATGGAGCATGAAGGCATTGGGTCATGGGTGCAACCCTAACTGCATGACATAATTCAATTAGATGCAATGAATTGGCATAGGCAAGAATCCCTGACTCCTGCCCAATGAAGCCTTATAGTTGGCAATTTAGATGTACACAGCCTCATTTCTCATTCATAAATGCTCCGTCCTTCCTAGAAATGGAAGAGTTGTTTGCAGCTTCCATCTTTATCTAACTGGTATAAGAGAATCTGGTCTCTTTCTATTAATGTATTTGAGACATTTTACACAATCATTTGTTAGAGGGTTTTCACTGTACATTAAATCGTGGCCTGCTCTATATTTCTGCAACAAAAAACCCCTCAAAAACAAGGGTTACGGCAGGAAAAAGGTTGGAGTGATGCGAGTAAACTGAGAATGTCGAAAACACTCTTGGTGTCAAAGTCAGCATGCACAAATCAGCTATTTTAGCTGAATTTAAATGTACCCTCACCTCTTTGTTGCCTCTACTAAAGCTTTCTCGTCGGGTGAAGAGGCGTAGTACTCTATGTGATTGGAAGAGAAACCATTTGAATGGGAGAATGGGTCTCCGCCCCTGTCTGGCTGATCGTAGCTGATCTGAACCGTGTGACACAAGGACACCGCCTTGAGAAATAATAATTCCTCACCCGTCTGGATGAAAAGAGAACAGGAAGGGGTTAGAAAGTTAACTGTCATTGTAAACATAAGGGAGATGTGATTAAAAGTCAATCATTTTGTGCATTTTATGCTGCAACAGGGATAAATCCATTAGGCCAATTGTCTTTCCTTATAACATCATTGTCTAATAGAGTCATTTAAAGGGGCTCTTTTATGCAAAGTTTCAGGTTCATACTTGTATTTTGTTCCTCTGCCGTAACATGTTTACATGCTTTACTGTTCAAAAAGTCTTTATTTGTCTTTTCCCGGCCGGCTCTGTTGTGATTGGTCAACAGCTTAGAGATGTCCCACCCCTTAAGCTTTCACATACAATTTGTTCGAGCGCTAGCCAATAGAAACACAAGTGTTACATAATGATGTCACTATGTTACATAAGTAGACAAAGGAAACCATTTCAAGTAGGGGGGGGGGGGGGGGGGGGGGGGAGGGGGGGGGAAGAGTGTGTGGGAGAGAAACTCTCTCTGGATGGAACTTTGGGATTTTAGCCTTTGCAGATCATTTCCATGCACAAAAACCTATATTACCCAGTACAGAAAAGGGAGAACCCTAAAAAGCATAATAGGGCCCCTTTAATCGTATTCTTCGGTGGTGCTCGTTAAATGGCAGAATTGGGAACAGTGCATTCATATGCGAGTTACCAGGTGAGGTGAAGAGCCGTCTGGTGAATCGTCAGTCATTCCCTCCGGCACCAGCTTGCCGTTAACTTCCCGGTACTTGATGCCATTGATTGAACACTCACGGAAGCGCATCTCGTTTTCCGTTAGCGTACCCGTCTTATCTGTAAACACATACTCCACCTAAGAAAATAAATAAAAATATTATTCAAGTAGTAGATGTGAGGCAGAGTGTCCTTTCCTATTATTAGGATGACAATGTATGTGTTGATTATTTAATAAAATACAAACCCTTATGTTATGTCAAAAAGGTTATATTTCCTGCAGTTTAATATGCATTATATTTAATATCTAACTGAAAAACTCAAATGTCTATGCAAGTCAATGTCTCTTTGCTCCTATGCTTTATGTATGTGTTCAGGCACTTGCATGGCCTACCTGTCCCAGCTCCTCGTTGAGGTCAGATGTGTTGACCTGAGCTTTCTGGTTGGTCTCCTCGTGGTAAAGGTCCAAATCCCAGCCAATGAAAAAGGAGCCAAGAAACTTCTGCATCTCCACAGTAACGTAGAGCGAGATGGGGATGATGAAGTTATAGAGGACCAGAAATGCCAGGAAGTCTGAGATAAACTTCAAGATCTAAAGGAGAACAAGACAGAGGGCCTAAGTGAAACAAGATTGGGAGATAAACCAATGTGACCTGAACTCTGGGGGAAGATATTGAAACCGTTTGTAATAGTAGTTGGAAGAAAGATGGAGAGTGGGGGAAAGAGAACAGAAAAAAGAGAAGGATGATGATTTGGTACAAAACACGAATAAATTAAAGTTTGTAAATAACAAAAAATGCCTCTAACAGCATTTGGAGAAATATGTTGTAAACTGATCCATTTAGTTTAAATAGTTTAGTTTAATACAAGAGTATCACAGTCGTTTGTCATTTATCTCAGCTTACATTGTGCTTTATCTGAGATGGAAAATAGAGAAATGCCTTTGGCAATGTTGCAATTTAATGTTATGTTTTACTGGTGGAAGACAAAAACAATATCATTGGAATACAAATGTGCTGATTACTAGGGACAACCGATTTAAAAAAGATATTGCTATTATTTTGACAAATATTGCAATATGTTCACAATATTGTGGATTTTTTTGCAATGATCTATAACCCGGATTTCTAAAGAGAATACAATTGTTAGGAACATCTCTTCAGCACCACTATACTTCATTCAGAACAGTATTTTATCCATATTGCATTTAAAATAAAATGTCATGTTCAGCTCTACTTTATACACATCTCAGCCCCACACAGACTGGTGGTGTGATCAATGATCCTTGTAAATCAAAGCAGGCAGGGTAATTCATTCCCATTATGGAGGTAATTACTGTATGTGACAGGAAAGGAGAGTAAGAGAGCACCACATACTGAGAGATTGAGTGTCAGCAGCTTTAAAGAGACAGGTTTATGACATGCTACCTACAGTTGAGCTCTGCCTATCCCACTTTCCAAAATAAAGAATTGAACCTAATACATCTGAATAGTTCTGATTACAAAGCAGGGAGGGAAAACAACTGTAATAATGTTGTCCTGGGCTTGTTGTAATCTGTAGGCCTTGTATTGAGATCGTTTTCAGTTGAGTGAAGGACCAATATATTCCCTGGAGAGAGGAGATAGCTGTGATGGGGAGATATGCAAAAAAATAAAAAGGGGACAGGGGGCTGGAGTTGCTTTTAAACTAATGGTAAAAACACAGCCATTCATGTGTTACAGGTATTACTCTCTTTGTCTCCAGGGATAAGGGAGTGCACTGAACAGAGATGTCTCCCCCCTCAGTCTCAAGACAGGGAGGCTGCTGTTCTCCCTGACTGATCAGTGTTGGCAGGTAGGCTGATAGGCCGGCAGACTGTCCCCATGAAAGACACTTCCTCACTTAAGCCTTGTTACAAAACCTCAAGACACTGAAACCACCCTTCCATCACCCGTCTAGATCTGTGTGTGTGTGCGTGCGTGCGTGCGTGCGTGCGTGCGTGCGTGTGTAGAGAGAGAAAGCCCATTATTATTCGGAGTGGAGATTAAAGTGGAGCAACAAGAACAGAAGTGGAATGTCGACTAAAATCTCACCTCATCTTATCTCTGCGGCTGATAGCTTGCTCTGCTTACAAAAAGAAAATCAATGCTTTCTTCTGGGGCTTAATACGAAGAACACTTACCGGACTGCTGTTTCTCTCTTGTTCAGTCTTCTGGTTGTAGAAAGGCTCGTCCAATTTCTCCTCAGCCTGCCAGGCGTACTTCAGGATGGTGCTGAGGATGGCTTCGAACAGCAGGATGCCCAGGTAGATGAGGAGGAAGGTGTTCATGGACCTGACAGGAGAGGATATGTTACATTTAAAGGTTATCTCCTAAAACAGAAGGAGATTTGCTTCCTCTGAGAGACCACTCACTTCTCCACTGCAGAGCGCTTCTGAGACTTGCCCTTATAGTTGAGCGCCATCTTGGACTCCATCCCTGTGTAAACCGCCACAGCTGCAACAGCACAGGATTAAGCAATAATATGACATTAGCCCGTTAATCACCCTTCACATAAAGTTATGAAAACGTGAGACACCGAAATGATCGATGTTTGCATGGTAGGTCATTGAGTCTGGTTCTCCATGCCACACAATAACAGTCAGGGCTGCATGATTTGTGAAAAATAACAATAGCGATAGTTTTCACCGATATTGAAACTGCATATTTTTTTAGAATAATGAACATTTCATATTATTATGATCATGGTGTGATTTTTTTAAGAGGATTTGTGTAAAATCTGTTTTGTTCAGCTTGTAATAATCAATTTGTATCCCGAGATATCTCTGCAGCTCCACCACACTTTATTCACATGTGGTATTTTAACACATATTTAGCCTTAAATAAATATGGTTCAACTTGTGATTTGAATATAGTCCATCTGGAAATGTCGATAACATTTTGATTACATTTGAAGCACTTATCACAGTACGTACGGGACAGACAGACAGACAGACAGACAGACAGACAGACAGACAGACAGACAGACAGACAGACAGACAGACAGACAGACAGACACACAGACAGACAGACAGACAGACAGACAGACAAACCATTGCTATAAAAGTCCACAGTTGAGATAATCATACTTTTGTCACATGATAAAGAGAGGCCTGTTTTTACCATACTGTCCAATACAATTGTTTTTAGTGTCAGTTCCACCTTGGCTGTGTCACCTCTCCCTGATGCTTCTATAATCCACTGGAAGCATTTCAGAAGCAACCTGTTTTTGTTTTTTTTGTTAATTGATTTATTTTGTATACCATTTTTTCTTAATTCATCATCCATTGTTATATTTAATTTACCCCCTTCCCTCTCAGGTGGAGGTTTTGACATCTACAGAAGCTTTCCTTTTGATTTGTATCTGTACTGACTCACCAAAAATCTCTTTGGTGTTTTTCAACCTGGCTCCTCGTAGCAGCAAATTCTCAGGACCCAGCGGTCTGACATAAAACAAACAAAAACAACAACATGAATACTGAAAAAGATGGATGTGATTTTGGCACAGAAATAAACAGTAGGACATTCATATAAACTCAACTCAACACTCAACAGTCGACAAGGCTTATACATCTGCAATTTGAAGTTGTCTTTTCAAATTTAGGAGCTTCATTTCTCAAACAGCTAAGTTAGGCCAGTAGTTTTTTTTAACATTTGTAACCCTCTGCTCAAAGCTTCCCTATCAACTGACAGCCATGTAATACCATGTATTGTTCATCTTATTGGGCTGTATGTTTGGCTTATCTAGCACACATACTATTATTAATTGAATTACAAGCAGCTGGATAAATCTGGTCTCACCTGACTATCTCCTCATCTTGCTGAGTAATCGTAATCCGACCGACAAACCTGGAAAACACAAAATGCATTTTAGTTGAGGTGTGAGAGAGACAGTAAGTACATTCAAATGCAAACAGGAAACTCGGTTACAGTATAAATGTAAATGTGGGAAATCTGAGAGAGGCTTTTACATGCACTTCAATAACGTGATTCCTGTGTTTATGTGCAGCTGGTCAGCAATCATATTCTCCCCTACACTCTGACATATTCTAAATGTATTAGATCGAGGCCTCTGCAGCATGCACAGACTTTTTTCTTGCAGTATTTGGAATAACAGATTGGTGATTAATGAACACAATTCAGAATGTTTCCAGATGACATGTGAAGTCCTGTGAATTTCACTTTCAGTTGATTTAGTAAAGTGTATTTAAACACTGTGAGGGTTAAGAGAGAGTCACAGCAACCAAGAGAGAGGGGAGGGGAGAAAAATGCCACCGAAACAAACTGGCCGATCTAAAAATACCCTGATCGATCTTAAAGTAGCTAGCTGAGACCGACAGGAGGAAGAGGGGTTGTTGAAGAGGTGATGAAGCCTTCTCACTTCATCACTCATTTAATAACACATCTCTGGCTGGGCATTTCTACCATGTATGAATTGTTGTGGCTTTTTACAACCAGGGGTCTTTGGAGATCCCAGAATATCAAATAATTGAAAATATTAATCTATACTTGCAGTTGTTACTTACATTTACAAGTAAAAAGCAAATATAAAGCTAGAGTATTTCCTGTATGAGGATTTTAAAGGCAGAACATTGGCTGTTATTGTTCTAATGCAGTGTGCGTATGCTACGTTTACTATATGTGACTTTGCACTGGTCTTTTCCTGCTCTTATCCAGAAGGTGTGTGCACACATAGACTGGATTACCTGTACAGGTCAGCTTCTGGTTGTTGACACTCCACCACAGCCTGCAGAGCCTCCAGTTGGGTCACCGACTGACACACTGATGTCTCCGCCACAGAGAAGTGAGTCTGCACACATGAAACACACAAATACAGATACATCAAAGAGAAGCATTCTATAAAATTGGATACATTTTTTGTTTTAAGGGGACATTTTTATACTAAAGACAGAGTGTGACCACATGTGCAATCTTGGACAAAAGTATATATAGTTAGAACATGGAGCTTTGTTTTATGAAGCCAGTTGCACTGAAGATTTAAGAAGGGCAACCATACAGTGCATCTACTGTCAAATCTGTACCATAGTGTGATGGTGAGATGCAAGCAACATTTGTTTTACTACAGTTCCCTAAGGAGAACACATATATACATGTGTGTAAATGTGCCAGTGTGAGCCAACAGGTTTATATCCAGCTGCAGACCTTAGGCAAGATGTTCCTAAAAGAATTAGGTTTAGGTGATCGTTGAAAAACAGCAACAAACCAAACACTCTCGTGACAGTGCAAAGCCAGGCGGAGCAACATAAAAAGGCAAAACATTATTAAAGTAAACTATGTCAACTATTCAGTTCACGTAGACATGCAAGCAAGCAACAAAACACAGCCAAGCAATACTGAATACACCCAGCTTTTTACACTTGTAAATGTGCAGAGCAGCAATAATAAGTAGGGCATAAATAAACACGGACACCATTTGGGACCGATGTTAGCTTTCTATCCATCTGACCTTCCTTAACACCCCACATATTCTCACAACCAAAAACAGCTGAGCCCTTTTTGTTCAAAATTGTCATGTATACTTGTACGGATAAACCTGATCCAAAAATACTGTAGCTACAGTGTTTTGGGACAAGCACTCCTGGGGAAGAATAAAGAGCAGAATCACTGTATACATTGCAGCATAAAAACAGTTGCAGCAATGAATAAATATATCAAAAGGGGCAAAGATTACGCCAACACATTTCTAGGGCAACACAAAGAACCCACTATGCTGTATAAATAAACTATAACAGAAGCAGCAGCATGTCGTTAGAGAAGTAATTAAGCAACACGGCCTCTGGCAAGACTGTAGGTGTGAGGGTGAGGGAAGGAGAGGATGTTCTGAATTAGGACGTGCAAAACATTGAAACTATATCATCCTATCCGAGAAACTTAAAGGTGTATTTTTAAGAGATGCAAACATCTGGCACAGACACAAACTGGCATTGGTCATGTGACCTGATGTCTGCCAATCCAACAGCTTTAAAATGTGTCTTGAAGATGCATTGCCTCAGAGCACAAAGGTACACAACATATTGGTACTCTTCTAAGACTTTTATTGCACATTATTACTATAACTTCATATGCGTATTGTTACGGCCGCCGCCTCCCCGGCCTCTGTTTTGAATGTGTTATGTAAATGAGCTGTGCGGTTGCCCTGCTGTCCTTGGCTACCCATCTCCTGGCCCGCCCGAAGACTGTGATTGGAGCTGACGGGACCAACGCGCTCCAATCCCAGCGCATATCCAGCGCACACCTTCCGGAGACGACAACAAAACCGGTCGACAATGATCAGTCGGGAGGCTCTGCTGTGTGAACAGATGCCTCTCGCTAGTTGCTCTCGATTGTGTACAAATCTGTTAACCGTGGTTAACTCGTGTGGTCCGTGTTTATCAGTACTGTTGTGATTAGATGTGCCTAGATTAGGTTAGTATAGTTTGACTGTTGTCCTCTACCTTAGCTGTGTTTTCTTACAGTCTCCTTTTGTTAGTCTGTACTGTACCAGTGAGGGTTGTTTTGTTGCTATTTAGTTCATTAGTACCTATTTCTTTCTATGTAAGTAGGCTCCATTATTAGAGTCCTTCCTTTGTTGGTTGCCCGTTGAAACCCACGCCATGTTGGCCCTTTTGTTTGTTCAGGCTGCGTGCCTTCCATTTTCTTCTATCTGTTATACAATAAAACTATTTATAATTATTACCAATTCCAACTGGTGAATGTTGCTTTCCTCTTCCCCTAGTTGGGACGTAACACTTATATAAACATTTATTTATTTTATTCAAACATTTTTTGCAACTTTCACAAAACCTAATTTCCCCACGGAATTAATCAAGTACTCTAATTATGTTCAAGACCTATAATATCACAATAAAAAGACCCAGGTGTTTATGAGTGGCATGAGGTTGCGTGCACTCAACCCTGTTATCAACAAGATGTTGACTGTTGGTTTTGTAAGACTCCACGCAGCAATGCAAGGGAGAGAGGAAGAGGGCTGCAAGTTAAAAATAGTTTTGGCAATGTTTTACGTGGAAAGCGCACATGTAAGGCTAAGCAGTAGGCTAGTGGAGTTTTGCATTTTTGGATCACTGGATTGGTTGTCGATATGCAGCAGTCTTGTTCATTAAATAAAATATATGTTCCTGACACAAGTATAAGGAATAGGCTGTCTATTTAAAGTTTTAAATAAAAAACTGATACTCTCACGTATACTCCCAAATTGAATATATCACGCAGCAGACCTTAAGGTTTGTTTCTCCATCGAGGCTGGCTGTGGTGATGTGACAGGTGCCGTCCTCACGATCTGAAGACAGCAGCGCCAGGTCAGCTGGGAACGTCTCATCTTTAGCCACTCGGACAATGTCCCCCACCTGGATGGACACACATCAAGGTCAATATTGGTTAAGTGTCCAACATTTTCTTTAACTGGGTGTTGAATTGTATTCAGAGTCTGCATTTTCATAATATAATTTAATATTTTCTGTGATGATTCCACCGTTTCTTATTATTTATATATTAACACAGACAACAATTCATTGTGTAGCTGGCCAAAAACAGGAAGACACTATGGAAATCCAAGTTTATACAAATTAGTTCTGTTTTTATTGACATCCTTATCCTCTACTTCTATATGGACCAGCTCTACATAGACACCCCGAGCATCAGGATTTAACAGCCAGGCTTGAAGTATGTACTGTATGTCTGTTGGCTATAAGCTGTGAACAAAGCTATTTGTAGGTGCTTTTAAGAACACGTTTTACAAGATGTAATGTCCTGTTCTTAAACAAAGAGCAAAGCTTTGAACTTGTATGACTAGTATAAACAAGGTTCCTTTAGGGTGTCGTTTTTGCCATCTTACTCTGATGTTCTTGGATTTTGTCTGGACGAGACATCCACTGCGAACCACAAACACTGGAGCCCCGTTCACTTCGTTGTCTGCCTTGTGTCTCAGCCAATCCTCGTAGCCCTAGAAAATACATTTGTTGAATATTATTATTATTGATAAACTGTACTGACAATTATTCTAAACACACCTTTTCATATCAATGCCAAATTCAGTACTGGTTAGGTAATAGAGATCCTTAACCAACAACAACAGCTTTTTCATATTTGTATGTATTTTTATTTTGTGGCTAATGACACTAAAAGGAATGCATTTGAATTAAACTGAATACTAAACTAAGTTGAAATGGGTTGGATATCTCAAGTCAACAACAATTGATCTAACTTTAATGTTATGCGCTGTTTGTTAGTTCCACATTGTCAGCCCAACAAAGAGGAAGCAACCATATGCTAATTTCCTCACCTGTTTTATGGCAGTTACTGTGATCACAAAGAAGAGAGGCAGGCCACTGGTGACGGGGGAAGTTGGGGTGTCTATCATTAGCTGGAAAGAGAAATACAAAGAGACAAGTTTGCAGATAAATAATTGAGGAGCAGCAGGTAGAACATTGAGAGACTTAGTTTAAAATGGGTGTGCCCTGTCAGAGAAAACAAGTGAACTAGAAAGACAACAGAGAGAAGTAGAGGCAGATGTGTGAAACAGGAAATCCCTATAACTTCCCTCCTGTTCTCGTAGGTTAACTGTCGGTTCAGATATAAACACACTCACACTCAAAAAAGGGATATGAAAAGCTTCAAAGGCAACATTTACTCGAGCAGACACTCAGATTACCCAACCTCACATGAATCATTGCATATCTGTTATTTTAGAAAGTTTAGGTGTCCCAACACTAACCCTAATCCTTCTCTGCAAATGTTTAAACAAATCTTCCTCAAAGTACTACTTTACTCATAAATCATTCATTCACAAACACATTTTCAATTTGTTTTGTGGCCTTTATTGAATAGTTAATAGTATAGAGAGGCATGCAATAAGAGGAGAGCGTAAGGAAAAGAGAGGCGGATATGTGCTCAAACCGGGGACTTTGTGGTTCTATGGTATGTAGTTATATGGTTCCACTCGGCCACAAGTAGAAAAATAATAACATCAGCTTATAATAGTTTAGAGAGGCACAGGACAAGGAGATAAAGCACAATGTCCTTATATGGTTTCCCTCATAACAAATATATATTTAGCAACTATAGACAAGTACAACCCTTTTTCCTTCAAGGGAAACTACAACTGTTAAATTCAGTTTCAACTTTGTATCCCAGGGAATTAAAACTTTACGGTGGTGTGCAGTTTAGATCCATATCCGGACAAAATGTCATCACTTTGCCCTTATATCCTACTAGACATTTGTGTTTATTTTATATTTAGCATATTAATGCTTGAGTTAACGTCAGACACTTTAAAGGTCAGAGGTTAAAGTGACCTTCAACCATCAAAATCTATCCAAAAGTGGACAATTGTGCCAAATGTTTGAATTTCCTGAATATGTTCGAGATATCGCGACTACAAGAATGGGACGACAAACCTGAAAGCATAATATAAAATATAATAATAAAAAAGAACGATACGGAGCTCGTATTGAGTGACTGTAGGAGGTGAGACAAATTTGAACTTAGAAAAATGGTGTGCAATGTATTGTTGAAAAAGTCAGTTAACAACTTAACACCCTATGCAAAATGTGTTTTACATAAACTATGATCCAAGCTGAGAACTCCATCTAAACAAATCTAACAAAATCTTTATGTTCACAATGTCAAGATGAGGTCCTCCACTTAGCGATTTTATACAAGTCTGACTTCAGCTTCACTGACGGGTGAGTGGGTGAAAAGAGAGGCTTTTGAGACAGAGTCAAGTCGATTGCTCTGGCTTCACTACACAGGCCCAAATAAATCAGGAGCAGGCTGAACATTTGAAAGCCAAATCTGACTTCAGCACAGGCTGACTGATGCAGAGTGAAGGCCTAAAGCCTCGGGTAGATGTAAAGACACACATATTACTTAATGTGTTGGTGTAATGTTTTAATTAGGAGGCAGACCTGTCCTGCTACTTGTCCTTAGTAGTCTATGAGTCACTAGCTTACTCGTGTGCAAACAGACAAACACACATTTGTAATTCAGGGCAGGGAAACTAAGGTCGCACTTGACTTGTCACCATCTGAGGGGAGTATGTGTACCTGTAAAAAAAAGAGTTATGGGTGTGTTTGTGAGTGTTATTACCTGTACAAGGAAGATAATGAGAAAATAGAAGTTGGCTATCCTTCTGAACTGCTCGAACAGATTCTTAGGGATGAAATTCCAAACTGTGTACTGAAAGAGAAAGAAAAAAACAACTTTGAGTAAAATGCTATTTAGGCAGGGTATCTGTGGGTTTCAAAAAGATATATTTGAGACTCTTTTTCCGCCTTCTTGAATGCAAAGAGCTAAGTAACAAGTTAAATATATACAAACAAATACACAAGGCAGATACAACTAGTCTACTCTATTTATGAATATGATATAAGCAGGCAATAGAAGATGCTGAATTTGAATAAATACTTTTTTTATTTATACATTTTCACATTGTTCTCATATTCCTTCCTTTAACAACAGGTACATTGATACTTCTGTATCCATGGCAGCAGTAAATTATGTTTCTGATATTGTGGGAAGTGGAAGGACTTCAAATATACATTTTAATTAACCATTAGATTAAGAATAGCTGATGTTGTTTTTCTGCATGTATTTTTAATACCCTGCTTTCACCTCATTAAGGTGAAGATCATCACTTTGGTTCAAAATGAGAAGAAACACTAACTTTGTTTTTAGGGGGGGCAAATTCTGTCACTTAAAATGCATGACTTAAATTGAATTTGATTCTAACCCAAGACATTAAACACTACTTTCATCCATTTAATCAACTGCCTTATCACTGACATGCATGTTGATGGTAGCAGCCATTTTGGATTATGATCCTTTTGTTCATCTTTCCATCTGAACTACTAATCCCCTCACAAATACAAACGTTTATTTTTTATCAAAGTTGATCCTCTTATCAATAAATCATGCTTCACTTCTTATCTCTCTCACACCACTCCAGAGCACCGGATACTTCTTTTTTAACACTGGTCAAGCTGCCAGAAAGCACGTGACACTTTTTATTTCACACATTGTTGCTGTCACTGCTCAAGCATGCAAATGATGTTTCTTAAAAAAAGAAAGCAGTGCCCTCATAAATAAGTGAACAGTGGTTCCATCACTTGTGTAATTTGCACTCTTGGCTTCCTAACATTTTGTGGTTATGACAGAACTTGAAAATAAAGAAAAAATCTCAAGAAGTGAAGACATTTTCAAGAACAACATCCTTACCTTCTTTTCTTATGTAGACAATTGTACATTAATATTACATTACATTACATTACATTGCATTTAGCTGACGCTTTTATCCAAAGCGACTTACAATAAGTACATTCGACCAGGAAGACACAACCTTGAAGAAAACAGAATCATATAAGTACATCAGGTTTCATAGAGCCAAACATTTCAAGTGCTACTCAACTGGCTTTAGGTAATATCATTGACTGCCTAACATATTATCCTGTAGTGTGATAACAACATGTGGAAAACACCAATAGTGGCTCGAATAACATTAGGTACCTTGGAGGAGATGATTCTGTTGTCAGCAAAGCGTTGCGGTATGTAGTGGCCATGCTCGGGGAAGCGGTTTGCTACATAAATCGTCCTGGTGTCACTTTGATGGGGGGGGGTCAAAGCCCTGAGGGACGGGAGGACACATGAGAAGAGAGAGGGAAGAGGGATGGGGCAGGAAAGAGGAAGAAACGGAAAATATGGGGAAAAGGAGGGAAAGCTGGTTACTTACAACTCTTAGTACGTTTATTGATAGAAACGACTACAAATACAGTGATAATCAATGGAATCATATTCAAGCTCAAATGAAAAGGTGCCAATAATACTGCATGTTTCTCTAGGTTTCCTTTGAAATGCACATTAGTGAGCAGCCAGATAATATGTGTAGGGTCTTTGAGTTTCCTGAAAAGCACTATACAAGTCTCATGTATTATTATTATTATTATTATTATTATTATTATTATTAGGGTGGTAAAAAATGCTTGACCAGCAAGTTTGTTTCTGGTAATTAAAAAAATTCGTAGACAAAAATGCAATATATGTTTATGAAAGCGAGACAATTTTTAGGTCATGACATGAATTAAATCCAGAATAAAATAATAGCCCTACTCAAATACATACAGTATAGCCTAATACATGTACAATTCAAATGGGGTGAAGGTAATCAAAACTACACTAAAGAATTTGGCAAAAATATTTATCACAGTTTTAGTCAATTCACACTCTCACACTATTACCCAATACGTTACCAAGGAATGCGACAATTGCAATCAAAAACTGGAAATCTTATGAGGATTATTATTATTAATATTGTATATATATATATATATATATATATATATATATATATATATATATATATATATATATATGTGCATACCGGTTCCCGGTATTACCGAAATACCGTTTACTGGTGGCTGCGGTATACTGTACAGAAATCAGATCCGGTTTATTTATTTATTTTTAATAAAGTTAGGCGTAATATCCTTAAACTCTTGCCCAAACCACCAGCCAATCAGATCGCGTGTCTTGCAAAGGCTTCGGTGATTGGCTTGATTGCCAAGCAACGCCCTTCACCTTCGGTTAGCATTCGTTTTTTCATTAGCTCGATGTCGGCACGAAAATCTAAAGTGTGGCTGCATATGATTGCCAGTCTGAATGGTGGGGTCTGTAACCACTGCCAGTCTGAATGGTGGGGTCTGTAACCACTGCCAGTCTGAATGGTGGGGTCTGTAACCACTGCCAGTCTGAATGGTGGGGTCTGTAACCACTGCAAGACGTTTATTTCTGGGAAAGGCGGCAACACATCCAACCTCTCAAAACATTTGCTACTGTCACATAAAATCAGAGTACAGGAATGTACAGTCTTCAAGCCTATGTTGTCAAACGTGTTTTTCATTGTTTGTTCAGTACTAAAAGGTCGAAGTCCCACAATTAATTATAATATTCATTTCACATGTTAACTATATCATAAAGCGCTTCATGGGTCGTAATTGCGGGATGAACCCATTTTTCCCTTATGCAACATGAAAGTATCACGATATGTATCGGTCGAGTATCGGTATCGTTCAGTGGTATCGGTATCGTAAACAAGTCAACGATATGCATCCCTATATCTATTTCATGTCTTAGATAAACAGTTTCAGATTGACATGTTAATGTAGCAGATGTTCTGCTATGTATAACATACTGTTGCTAAGGACACCCTGATCATAGGACTCTTGGGACCAGGTCCAATCATATAAATCCTCAATAAGAGGTTGGGTACATTTAACAACACTACTCCATCAGCATCACCTTGGAATATTTATTGAATATTCGTTATTCTATATTGAAAGGTGCATGCACTTTGGATTCATGGTGGCTGAATGGTCCCCAGTAAAGACAATAAAGTAGAAGGACAAGAACAAGAGGGGAGCAAAGGCAACAGAGGTTAAAAGCGACAAAAAGCTGGAGGACAGGGAAATCAGCTAAATTGAAGAAGACAGACGTGAAGTGAAAACTGAACAGAACACGGTGTAGGCTATCGGAGTGTTTTAAGTTAATTAAAAATAAATGTCAAGAGGATTCAGAGTTACTGGGCAGAAAACATCAACCAGTGTTGCAGAAATGTACAAAATGCCTACCAACGAGAGAACATAGCCTATGTTCAGTCACACAGCAATTAGAGCTGGAATTATTCTAAACTTGACATAAAGCTAATAGATCCTCTTAAAAACATCTATTGTTACGGTTGCAGTTCTAACCATTGCCACGTAGTAGACTACTTTTATTAGCCAATGTAATTCCATCATTTTTAAATCAAAAAAATCATTGATACAAATGTGTTTACATTCATCTGCAGGGCAACACAATGACATGCAATCTCCTTGTCTGTTCTTATATCATTTCCTGGTATTGTCCTGTGTCACATACTCCACCCGAACGCTATTCTAAGAAGGTTAAAGCTCACAATAACTTGCAAACTGCTCTATGACGTAGTTCACACACACACACACACACACACACGACTCTATCAAGCTCTCCATCTGCTGCTGGTTTCATATGGTTTATTATTTTATAAATTCACTGGGTCAGTGTATCAGTTTTAAATATTGCAGGGAAAACCGGTATACACAGAAACAGTCACTGAGCTTCAGGAGGAAGAGCTGCTATTAGCTTGTGTTGTCCTTTGTGACATGCACACCTCCAGTGCATCATCAAAGTAAAACCACATATATACTTAAACCTCACTGTAACAAGTGTAGTGACATGAAAACTCACTGTGAATAACAAAACCTCACATTTTTAGGAGATGATTAACCCTTTTTTAACCTTCTCAGTGTGACTATTAAAAACATTTAAAGGAACATCCAGACTCACAATGAAGGTGCCCACAAAGTACTGTATTCATCGTTTTAGAGCTTCCCTAAAACTTGGCTTCACTGCTGGGGAAATAGAAATCTACCAAATAACACCACTGTTTGTTAACACCGGCTGCGAGGCACTTCCCATGAGGTGGTCACATTGAACTCAAAATAAAACTTATTTTTTTCCGGCTTCAGTTGTTGTGACATTGTGTTAAAACTGCATATATAATTGCCGTTTAATATGCACCTTGAAAGGCCACACCTGTCAGAAGAAAAGCTGCCCACTAACATGGATTTAACACATTTTGAGGGGAATAAGCAAACTCTAATCTTTCTTAGTTTACAATTAACAGATATTAAGTGTCACAGAATAGTAAAACAACCTACAGTATATGACACAGTAATTGCAGACACTGACAGGAAGTGAGCTTTGTAAGCCATACATGGCTACATCTCACACAGTAACTGTTGAGTCACTGACATTGATCAGTAAACCAGTGAGTCAACACAACTTTGACATGACTACAGCAAGGACCTAGATAGTGGTTGCAGGAGGGCGTTTTCTCTTACTCTCCTCCCAGGTTTTCAGACAGTCTCAGTAGCCGGAGATTAGCACACCACCACATAAATCAACCATCAGTCGTGTTGCTTAATCATTAATATCTTTGCACACAATATCTTTGGTTATCTTCACTGCTGGCTGAGTAAATACCTAACAGCCAGGTGTGACTGTAACAAAGATGTGGCCTTTTGAAATGAAGGGAAGCACCTCTTCCAAAGGTTTTGAACACACTGCAATGCATAATAAAGTCATTATTGTCCGTGCTTTAGTTTGGGGCTTCACAGTGAAAACAACGATTAGCTTGAGTTTTTGGTTCATCTTGTTGAACTTGCAAGTGCACATACAGAGGATGCATTACATCCATGGGAATTGAAGTTTATAGATCTATAAAACAAGACAAGAATTGGTTAAGATGACAAATTGTTTCCATTGGCTAGCTTCACCGTTGCTACTTTTCTTCTGTTCTCGATCACCACCAACACAGACGCACGATCGAAAAGGCTAACGTCTAATGCAGCTACTTTTTTCAGATGTGCGCTGAAAGATCTCAAACAGCCTGACAGTAAATGACATGCAGTGTCTTGTGTCCTGGTGTGACCATACATATACCATAACACACTCTAATTAGTCCAGAGACAATCTTTCTGTCACAACCATACAACATGTTCCTCAGGCTGCATATATCAAATACAATAATGCTTCACAATGAATCGGTTCATTAGGCAAAGGTCTCACATTGCCTGTATATAACGAAGGCCAAATGCTGTTGTAATATGCTAATCCATCACTCACCACTCACCAGACGAAAATACAATGATAATCTATTGATTGGCTGGTTGAACATTCACTAGCCATTGGGCTGACGGACAAGACACTTTATTTAGCAGTCCGTTTTGCCAAACTGCATTTAACTTGTACAGGTAAACTGCAATGTTTTCCTTGAAGAGGCATTGAAATCACAAAAACATAGGACTTTAAAATGGGGAAAACATCGATCGACAATCGATTGAGCATATTGCTCATTCCCAAGACTCTCAGAAAACAACAACATGACTCACTATACATACAGACAAAACCGCATTCACTAGATTCAGATATCTACAATGTATATACACGTCATTGTGTTGCACTGTTGGAGGAGCCTGTGACCTAAGATTGTCATAACTACACTGTAGCTATGCACACAGCCTCAATAAAAGCCTTGAAACCTCCGATGCACTACGACAACCTGGTCCCAATATGGTCATTATATGTTCATTAAATTCAAAGCAGGCTATTACTTTTGTGTTTGCCTCTGTTGATAATATGTATATTATCAACAGAGGATGTACATGTATGTATTTTAGTTCAACTTTCAGATGATCTTGAACACCATCGAATGTTCAATGAGCAGCATTGATGATGAGCCAGAGAACCAACATGAACTAGAGTGCTAGATTCAGTACTTTGGTACAACGTCTCTAGGTGGAAATGATTGAGTAGAAATGTCTGAAAACTGCATAGAGCTGAGGTCATACCTGGCTGATGGATAGGTATGACTGCCACTTATTTGGGACACTTAACCTATCGGTTTTATCAAGTACAAGCAATGAGGTGAACCCAAGTACAAGCAATGAGGTGAACCCAAGTACAAGCAATGAGGTGAACCCAAGTACAAGCAATGAGGTGAACCCAAGTACAAGCAATGAGGTGAACCCAAGTACAAGCAATGAGGTGAACCCAAGTACAAGCAATGAGGTGAACCCAAGTACAAGCAATGAGGTGAACCCAAGTACAAGCCATTTTTGATTCCCCCAAATACACATACTAATCAAAACAGTGAAGATGGATATAACAAGTTAGACATTGATTTGAAAGCTTACAGACTGTGCAACCAGGCTTATATTTATTATCAGTAAGAAGTTAAATAAAAAAGGTATGAGACCTTTTCCAACTTTGCTAGAAACTTACACAAAATAACAGGCCTCTTTGTCATTTTTATTGCAATGACAATATATATAAGAATAAATAATACTGACAATACAGCAATCATTTCAATGTGGCTTTCTAGTAAACCCTCTTAAAATCAGAAAGCAGACTTTTTATTGTATCCCTGACTCTCGTGCCCCCATCCATTTGAAGGCAGACGGGTAATTACACCTTGCAAAAAGCCTTTTGGGAATTCTTGCATCGCAAAGCCTAATACTTCAGAATCACTGCAGAGCATTGAGCCGTATCATAGATTAAGAGGCCTTTAATCAAAAGCCTAATCAGAGATGTAAAGAGGGAGAGAGGAAGTAGCATAAAGAGCCGCAGCACAAAGAGGAAGAGCGAGAGCTACAGAGGGATGTTTGCAGTCAGATGCGGTGAGGTGCTGCTTTTGACCATATTACTTATGACAAGAGCAAACAACACGACCACAGGCATGACAGAAAGATATCGAACAACATGTGGCACGACATGGATAGCCTCTACAGATGATATGGAACTAAATAATTGTATCAAAAGGTGGCATGGGCCAGTAAATATTCAAATGTGTTCTACTTCATATTCTAGATTATTAGGGTTGCTGGAACATGTCCAAATGTGATCCTGAGCACGACTGTAAGTGTGTTGGATAATCTGTTAGCTCAAAGGGCTAAAATGCATAGCAGTGTTTCCCCTAGGATGGAGTCATAGCAGCGGTGCTAAGGCACCAACATGTGAGCGCGGAGCGTGTGGACATTTTAAGTGTGTGTGCGCGTGCGAAGAGCACCCCGCCATTGTGTTTCTATGTGTCTGCCAGCACAAGAAAGACACATACATCATTAAAGGCTTCAAATGTATTCAGTATTGTATGAACATTTTATAATTGGTGGTTGGACATCACATCCTCTAGGGGGGTCCGGGGGTATGCCCCCCCCGGGAAGATTAGTTTTTACATTTTAATATAAAATACTATGATAGTATATAATGGTATGTTACAAATACCAACTGACATTAATAAGGTTTATTTTCATTTGACTCATATCAACTTGCAGACACTGAAACCTGATATATCAGTGAGCATTTTATAACCGCTGGTTTCCTTTTGTTTCTCTAAAATAACATCATGAAAACATTAGTCTGCATTACCAAGCTATGTTGAAAGCCCTCCTCTCTTGGTGCATTGAAGCAATATCCAAAATCCCTTATCACTCGCAAGCCATGCCAAAGACAAGCTTTACATTAGAGTATGCCTTTGGGAAATCTAAAGTAAGAAAGTTAGGAAAAGAACGTTGTGTCTGCGTTGGGCAACGGACAGGAATAATATATAGTGACCCCCTATAGGAAATAGTGAATAGAACAACATGTCAAAACAATATGTGATACTTGCAGAACAGGATGTCAAAAGGTCTTCTAAGTTGCCACAGTGGCTTGCACTGTAATTTGAGTTAGTCTTATATGATATGAATGCATTACTAGCATGATGTCAGCACTGCTGGTGGGAGAAGAGGGATATTAAAAGCCTGTCATACTGCCCATTAGGACTCGCCCCCCTTCTATTCCTCTTTTCTGCTTCATGTCACCAGCAAGGCACTGATAAGGAGCATATAAGGGAATGGCTAACCCTACAGTACCTTCCAACTGATATAAAGGTCAGACAAATGCCCCCTGACAAACTTTTTCATTAGGTCAGTTGCATTTTAATTACACTTTTAATTAAATAGGCAGGTCAATTATGTGGGATGGGATGGGTCAAATGAACAGAGTTATCACAAATTAGGAGGAGGCTACTATTTGTATGGAGTTTAACTCTCTGAGGTGCTCTTCGAAAAAGACAAAAATGAACCTCTATTAGTGGAAAGAAAAGATGTACCAACTTGCAGCCAAGCAAGCGCCACTCTAACCCAATGTAAGTACAGGGTGAACTCAGGGACTAAGGGATGGGAGCTCAGACACACTATAACATTGATTAAACTCACTGGCTGTGGGGACATCAACAGTTGGACCAATGTATGACTAATCCCATTTCATTCATTCACATGGGCATGCCCGCTCACATGCTCACACACCCAAACAAACAGTCACACGACTTTCATTAAGGTCAAGGCAGGTTCTTATCCTAAGTTTACTCTGACAAACATACTAAAACAATATAAAGTTCATGGTGTCATTGCAGCATGATTAAAACACTCATTATTCATTCCTCCAGCGAAATTAAACCGGTCTACTATTGACATGTAAATCACTCTGTGCTGCTCGTATTGTTTTAAACCTGATCAGGCAGGGCTCTCATGGATCATTTCGGACGTTTATCGGCACTACCTGTACCTTTGCCTATCGAGGCGTGGCGTCACCACACAGCCATGTTTGTAGGCAAACAACAGGTGATGACAGCAAATACAGGATGCTCTCTAAAACAAATGATACTCCCGAGATCGTTAAGTTACTGTTCATGTTTTCCAGTCCATACAGATGTACACTATGAAGTTAATTAGAACACACCGCCGATCCAAAGATGTCGTTAAAGTTAATATAAGAAACGCTAACTTAATTTGTTTTTGCCTGTGAGTTGAAACTAATATGTGAACAGCTGTTAAACGTTATTTTATTAGCTCTATTTAGAAATAATAAGCCATTATAAGTGTATTCATGGTGAGTAAACGTTAATATTTAAGTGTAACCCACTTGACGGTTAGTTAGCCGTTAAACTTGCCAAGTTTGACATCGTTAGCCACTTAGCTAGCTTTAACTCTTGTGTTTATTATTAAAATAAGTCTGTGTTAAAAATGGTAACAAACTTCAAATGAACTCAAAGTGCACTTTAAGCGTATCCCAGTGGATTTGTTGTTTACGTTTTAAGATGAACATTAGTTTAGTAACACAATGTCAGCTAATTAACCGTAGCTAACTAGGAATGTAGCTAACATTACCTACACCTGGCTGTCATCACAGCGAGACCAACACAACATTGTTTTGGACACATCGGCAACAGCTATATCGCTAGGTTAGCTTGCTAAATGTTACCCAAATAAAGTTTATACATGTTTCCGTGAGCTACGAATTGCATTAGACGAGCACTGCTGTGGGCTAATGAGGGCTAGCTTAAAAAGAAAAGTAGGAGAGCAGGTTTACCAGCTGTTGTCGTATCCACCGAAGCATCTTAACAAATACGTTAGGAAGTAGACAGCACAGTCGCTAGCCCAGCGCTAGCAACTAGCTACTCCAACAAAACCGTCCCGAAACATAAATATTTCCCCCCAAAGTCAGCTCTCCTCGGCCGCATTACGCGACACATTCATGCAGTATAGGTGTGCAAAAAAGATAATCCGGTCATTCCTATTCCGCGGTAATGTCGGACAAATGTTCCCCGGTGAGAGTGATAGACGGCTGGCCACGGAGTCCAAGAGAGCTGCACTACATCTCTGCTCTGCCACGACCAGTTCCCCCTGCCAGCTCTCAGCTCATTGCAGACTCTGGCTGCTCTCTAGCGGCCTCTCTACGCCCCCTGCCTGTCTGCACTCACAGGTGATGGATGAGAGGAAAGACAGAGAGAAAATACTTCATGTAAAACTACAAGTATAATTTAATTAAACATATAGGGGTCATTCTACAGAAAAGGTGGAAGTGCTGTCACTTACTTTTGCAGACACCAAAATACATGACGTTGACCAATACTCACATTCATTATATATGTTAAATAAATAGAGATTGTCTTTGCAATGGTGACCTACTAAATAAAAAATGGTTTTATACGTAAATTGCAATTTATTTAAAATGCCAAGTTCCAGGAACTGCCTTGTCACTTTGATCATACATGGAAGTGGAGCCTATAGTTCAATAAATAAATCTAATTTATATTTACATAACATTACATTAAATATAACACTGAAATGGTAAAAAAAAAGTATTATTAATATTAATAATATCAAATAAATGTCAGTCACCCAAAATTACGTCATTGGTGTTACTGCTACACAAAACGCTTTTATTTTTAAAATAATGTACTGTCTCTGAAGTGCCTCCTGTAACAAGAGATCATTTGAGGCAGTGCAGTGGACAAAGACATAAGGAAAGTCAGATACTTCTTACTTTGTTTGTTAAAGGTGTCATTTTATCTTCAAATGTATGCGTCTTTCAAGTCTGTCATTAGTGTTACTCATTGCATAGCCCTAGGGGTGAACATTTGAATGGGAAAATGTATTGTATTGAAGAGTTAAACGATTTTGATATTGACTGAAGCCACATTTGATCTGACACATGGCAGCAATTTTGTTAAAATGGTAGTGTTTTCTCCAAATTGTCACTGGTGTTACCGTCACTGGTGTTACTCTTCTTCCTGGTAACACGTAACACCAGTGACATTCCTATACAAATAAGCTTTGTATAAAGTATACAAATAATTTAAAAATATATATATACTTTAAGCTCTACTTGTTGTGGATTCATCAAGTTAAGAGTTAGTTATTCCTATTTAACAGGTTTTAGATGTTTTTAGAAGGAATATATTTCAGCAGATTTGTATCACCCAGATTCCACATTTTCTGTAGAATGACCCATAGACATGATATATTATCTATAGGTTAAGATTAGGCTGGATAACTAAATAGGCAGGCAAATGCCCATAAGTCAGTTTGGGTCATTTAATTGCAATTTTGTTTTGTAATATAAAAATATGTACTTATAAATCTCAAATGACTTAATTAGGTGCGATAATAATGTGCCATGTTGAAATCTCATGTCAATGTCAATTATTGACATCTGTGCTTTTCTTATGACATTTCTGCACTGAGATAAAGGTATATCGAGGCCATGTCTTGCATAGGGGCAAAACAAATCTAGTTATATAAACGTCATTATATAATCTGATATTGATGATATATCTAATCGCAAATGAAGCCCTGTACATTTTTTTTGTCCGTGGGTCTCCAAGCAAGTAGTTTGGCCATGTAATTACAACATCTGAAGATGAGAAATTCTCATCAGACATGAGTATAAATGTTAAGTGAACGTTTGTCTCCTTCATACTGTTCTGAAATGCCCTGAAGATTCATCATATACATATATATATATATATATATATATATACTGTATTGCAGTGTCACTAATGAATTGCAGTGTTTACTGCAATGGAAACATCATAATGCATACATCGAATAGTGATAATGCAAGGCCCTGAGTCATATCTAGATTGTATACTAAGCACTTTTTCAAGTTGTTGAATATTATTTGACATAAAGCCAATAGAGCGAAGACTTAAAGTGGATTTGCTCTCTCTAAATGTGCTTTGGATATCTTAAGCCAGAGGGAATTCGTTTTTCATCTCCTGCAGCAAGCCCCAACCAAACTTTTCCTTTCACATGAATTCCCTTGCTCATTTTCTCTGATTGATTGTGTGGCTCCTTTTCAGGATGAAACATTATAAAAACGTAGAACAAAAAATAAAATGGTACTACAAAAAATGACTTTTTATCTGGATAAAGCATGTGTATACTCTTCTCCTTAAACTTAAACTTTCAGCATGTTTTCCCAGAATTTCTATTGTAAAGCATCTCACATAAAGTGAGGTCATCCTTGTGTAACTGGCTCTCTCCAGTGATGAATCCATTCATGTCCCCTCCCTTCTCCAAGGCGTAGCTGCAGTTCCTCCAAATCAGTCAATAATGTATAATAAATAATTCCATGCAAGGGAGGATGACGTCAGCATGTCTCAATAACATGCAAGGTTTGACAAGACTGCATGCTTTCTAAATTGATTGATTATGTTGTATATGATTGAAAACACTGAAGGGATTCTGCAGTGATCAATAGCAAGAAAAGCAAATGGTAATGATCGTGCGTAATCAGTGTGTTTCAGCAGCTATATTTGGTGCAGAATATCTGCAGCTGCCCAGTAGTAGTGTTTTTTTCTCTTTATCGAGCCTCCTGAATGAAAAAGTAAAGTAACACACAAATGTATTTGAATAATTTCCAAACCTCTCATTTGCCCAATAAGGCAGTGAATCTCAAAGTTGGGTCAGTGCCAAGTGGGGTGTGTTTTCAAATGCATTACTTTAAATTATTATGGTATAAATCTATAGTTCAATAAATAATATTAGAATTTTTAAATAGCGTTCTAATTAAACAAATTGTATATTATCTTAAACATCTCAACAACAGAAACATGTCAGTTCAAACTACTCTTGATATGTGTTTCTGTGTGTTGTGTGTGTAATGTACAGACCTTTTCACTTTCGAGTCGCCTTTGATTATGTTTAGGTACATTTTGCAAATAAATTAATTGATATCAGTTGCAATGTATCTCCTATCTTTGTAATAGATTTATCTTGTGTTGTTATTTAACACAACACATTTCTACAAGTGTATAAAATATGCTATGTCAAAACGCTCCAAGAGACATACATAATGTATATATTAAAACAAACATTAAGAACCTCAGCCTCGATGCTTGAGTGACTCAACTCAACCCCACTTGAACCCCAACCCCATTATTAAAGCATTTTTTAAACAGGCAAAAACAGTGAAACTAAGCCAAACACCACCAACACACATTTATTTCCAGGATTGAAATGCTTTAGGTTACTCTATGAGTCAGCGCAGTAAGGCACTGACTCTGCACACAGTGTTTGCAACATCTTGTGTTGCAATCTGTTTAGAGTTTTGGTGGTCCTGATAATTTATTCCGGTAAATTACTCTGACCTCCTAATTGACCTTTCCGAAGTTATTGAGTCTATGTAAGTTTGCTGCTTGGCTCAGATCCACCAACGTCAGCAAGATCTCACCTCTTCCTAACCCCCCCGAAGAACCAGGTTCAATTAACTGCTGTTTCAATTCAGACAACTCTTTTTTAATCTGTTTAAGCGATCCCGAAGGATTTTGATATCAGTAAATGGAGTGTGCTCCTACCTAAGTGTGTGTGGCAGGGTGCAATCTTACCTTTGACGAAGGAGAGGAGGGCACAGGTGTCTTTTAAAGGATCCCAATCCAACAGGTGGGATTCAGTTTATTTGAAGAAAAATAGGTCCAAACTGGTACAGGGTTTTTACCTTCTTTCTCACAACATTATAATCATACTAACAAAAAAAAACCGTGCTGTGATCATGTTCAAATTAAACTTTAATTCACAGTCTTACATTTATTACCAAAATGTTTTAATTTCAACTGCCCATTTCAGTTGTGACATTTTAAAATTCTCCCGATAGAATTTAGAGGTATTTCCTCGTAAAAAGACCGGTGACAATAAAAAGCGCATTCAACTTTCCATTCACCAATTAATTCACATCAGTTTCATACCGTTTTTTCCGACACAGACGGCGGATTAACACTCAAAAACCCATACCTGTCCGCAAAAATTCGGGGGACAAGATTTCCCCACAGGTCGCGGTATTTATAATGTTCATACACTCATCTCTCATCAAATCATTCCACTCAGCCAACAACCAATAAATTCGAGAGATATTTACCCCGTCTGGCAGGACCTTACCGAGAGCTATTAACCCAGCTCTGAAGCACACAGCCTACCGGGAGAGAGTCTACCAGGGGTCAACCCCCCTCTCTCGCGCTCTCTCAAAAAACCAGTCTCTTTATGCTAAAAAAACTGGATCCTAAACCCAAAAAAACAAACTCCTCCTCTACACGTAATTTGTGAAGAACTGCGCATGTCCTATAATGTACAAGGCTGAACATGCCTCAACATGTTCCACAGCTGTTATGGGATAAGACACCCTTTCATATGAGGTAAAAAGGACATGAACTCTCTTTGGCCTCTAATGTTTCTCCCCTTAGTGTGAAGCCCCCCCCCCTCCCTGTGGACTGCTGCCAGAGGAGAGGAAGAAAACTCAACCTAAACACCACTTTGTTTTGTTTATACTGTAACTATAGAAAACCTAAAATATGAAGCATTTTCATTGTGGGTTATACAAGAATATAATTGATTATATTTGATTATAACTAACTTTCGTTTTTAAGTATTAAACATACTATGAAAACTCACAACACCCTCTTTTCAAAACGCAAAGTTATCAAAATAGCAACAGAAAAAATTGTAAGCATAGATACATATTCAAAAACTGTCAAGAAGCATTCTCATTATGGGTTTATACAAGAATATGATTGATCATGTATGATTTATAATTAACTTTCGTTTTTTAAGTATTCACTTCATACCATGATCTCAATTAACTTTCGTTTTAAGTATTCACTTCATATGAAGATCTCAACACCCTCTTTTCAAACGCAAAGTTTATCAAACTGGCAACAGATAAAATCGTAAAAACACATACATATTACATCCGTAAAACTCCACGCATCAATATCATGAAAAGTTCTTCAGTATGTGTAATCAGGACGACCTTTTGATGAACCTGGTGTGAAAAAACACCGAAAACATAGTACCGTACAGGAATGTCCTTGGGCGAGGGGCCCATCTGTTGTAGACTCCTAAATCCATGTTGCTATCTGATGTAAATCCTTGACCCTGACCATGGAGGGGTTGCAGTTTTTCGC